TTATTTATCCTCTAAAAATCCATCCTCATAAACACTTCGGAGGGGTGTTTCTTTCCAATATAAAATAGAATTCCTTCCTTCCTACTTCATTACAAACTACACTAACATCAATGTTCCTTCTATGAGAGCAAGTTTTAGCTGGATACGATTGATAATATGGGAGCTGACATGGGAAGAATTCAGCAAAGAATGAGCCACATGCAGAGGATGTTGGATGAGATGCAGCTGAGGCGCAATGCTCGGTTAGACATGAAGTCTGCGCGGATCTAAATATGTCACCTGGTGAGACAGGTTTCAGCTGGCTTTCAATGTTTTCTGCATACTCCTATCATTCGTTTTTGTTCTAGCAGCCTATTGATTATTTAACGTACCGAAAATCATTGCTTTATGTTATGAAAGTTCTGTGGTTTATGTAAGGAAGCAGTGAAATCAGTCTTCCCTTTTGGCCTTTTGATTTCGGTTTCCTGCTGTTTTTGTTCCAAATGAAAACCTCTTTTTTTTTTTTTTCTTTTTTGCAGAAGACGATCAACATGTGCACCGAGTTGATCCCCAGAAAGTGTCCATTGTGTCAAGCACTAATTTTTCCAGTCATGGCCGCTGTTTTTCTGATTATATGTATTGTGCTTTGCAAGTGTGTAATTGATAATGGCACCTTAAATTCGATTCGTTCATCTGTAAATAAAATTGCTTCTCCAAAATTTGTTTCATTTCCGTTCCTTCATTTTAGCCGCAGCAGAAAATTGCATCCCATGTTATTCACTTCTTGTTACAGAGGGAAATTATCATTTGCACAAACAGAAGATATGGTCTCTGGGTTTTCCTAAGATGAGTTATTTTACAAAATTAGGCTATTGGATTGTTGATTCTTTTATGTTCAGAACTGTGAGATAATAAACATCTACCTGGAATGCTTAAATGAGTTACGGTAGAAGTTTCAGCAATGTCTAGTCACTGAAAATTACTTCACAGGATTCTAATCCCAGCCCGTGAAAGCTCACTTCAAAATTTCTTAATCCCAACCAGATAAAAGTCAATTTTAAGCCTTCTGATATGCACTGAAGAAAAATGGGATCTGAAAGAATGGCAGGTCTTAGAGTCACAGTGGATTGATTGCAATAATGGTATTTAACTGAGAGAATTCAACAGACGATTTGACACTAATCAAGTTCTAAGAAGATCAAAATCCATCAAGTTCCAGCCATATCAGAACCTCCAAAACAACCCCCCAAAAAAATTCGAAGAATCTGAAACCATTTTCAAAATGCACAAAATGACCCCAACCATACAAAAATCTCGAAATCCAAAGCAACCCTAATCAAATCTATCACCGAAAAAGAAGCAAAAACCAAAATGATTAAAAGAAGTAATCAGAGACAACCGTGAACCAAGTTCAAAACAAATTTGCACATTAAATTCAACTCAAATCAGAGCGTACACATTTATATCAAAACAAACCCTAGCAGCCTAAGAGCTGGTAAACTTGGTAACAGCTTTAGTCCCTTCAGAAACAGCATGTTTCGCAAGCTCTCCAGGCAACACCAATCGGACAGCAGTCTGGATCTCCCGGGAAGTAATAGTGGGCTTCTTGTTATACCTTGCAAGCCTTGAAGACTCTTGAGCAAGCTTCTCAAAGATATCACTGATAAAGCTATTCATGATACCCATTGCCTTGCTTGAGACCCCAATATCGGGGTGGACTTGTTTCAAGACCTTGAAGATGTAAATCTTGTAGGATTCTACACTCTTCTTCGTCCTCTTCTTCTTCTTGTCACTCGCCCCTCCTTCTTTGGGCAATTTCTTCTCTGCTCTTGGCTTCTTCTCCGCTGGTGCTTTCTCTGCCGCTGCTGGCTTTTTCTCTGCTGGTTTCTTCTCTGCCTTTGGAGCCATTTGTGATACTTGAAGTAGATGAGATTTCAGAGGGAAAAGGAGGCTTCTCTCTTCTTTTTGAGGGAGTTTTGGGAGATATGCTGGAGACTGTTTTGTGGTTTGTTTATATGAGGAGAGGAGGGGAGTGGTGATTAGTTGGTTTGGGTGAGACGCGGATTGATGACGTGGTTGGTTGGATTTGAGGACTTTAAATAGACGGCGAGATTTGTTCTCGCGTCGAGTTCCGACCCAACCCTGCTGTCGACTTTAGCAATAGAAAGCCCTGAAATGACCGAAAATGGGCCCAATGGTCATTAGTCGATCCAGTATGTTGCTTCCATATAGATGTCGATTTTACGGAAAATTTTATATTACTGAGTAATTATCGGTATTTACTTCTTAATAAAAAATTTTATAATACATAAATAGTAACTAATCGTATGTACGGTAGTTATTCCTTATATTTACTTTAAGAAGAGAGATAGACACATAAAAAAGAGAGAAATTACATCCGTACTCATAAAAAATGATAAGAAGATTTAGCGTTTGTTCAAATTTTTTATTTCTCTCCCCTATTTTTCTCTTTCTCTTTTTGTGTGTCTATTTTTCTCTTCAAAGTGGGCTCAGAAGTAACTACCGTACATGCCACTAATTCATCGCTTGTGTATTATAAAATTTCTCCTTCTTAATAGAGAAATATATTAAAAATAATAATAAATAAGAAAAAAAATTGAGTTGAGATAGAAATATTTTTATCATTTTTAATGGATCTAAATGTGATTTTCTTTCTGTTTTTTTTCATCAATCTATTTTATTCAAAAAAAAAACCTATAAAGAAACTATTGTAAGTAAACAGTAATTACACTTTAGAGTATTTTAAAATTTCCTGCTCATATATTTCGTAACACCTTGAAAAAAAGAATTAATTTCGTCTCACTCAAAATCTTGGTCCGGTGGGATATTTCAGTTGAATATTGGTCCAGATATTTTAGGTATATTCTATGCAATAAGTTTCAAACTAAAACAAGAACAAAATTGAAATTTTATTGATTCTTATCATAATTAAATTATTCTTTTTAGTTTTTTTTTATTTGTTATCAAATTTTCTAATATTTTCGACTACATACAAAATTAAATGTGCATTGAAAAAGAATAATTTATAAATTTCAAAAAAAATAATAATAATAACAGCCAATTTTGGAAAAAAGACTAATGATTTTTAAAATAAAATAACTAACATCAAAAATACATGGACTGAATTATAACTTACTTTTTAAATTTTTTTTACAACTCCTCTTTCCTATCATTTTACTATATATATATAAAGAAGAAAGACGTGCAATATATAATATGATGACTAAGTAATTATAAATGACAACTTAAAGCATTGGCAGGTTTATGTAAAATAGCAAATGTTTCTGATTTTATATCTGGCTAAATAATGATTTATGAGTTTTACAATTTGCTCTGAAATAAATTTATTATTTTGTATTTCATTTGTATTGAATACATGTTAATTTCTGTTAAATATTTGAAAATATTGTAACCTTTGAAATTTATGCATAGATGGTTGACATTTTGTTTTGCATTCACTATTTGAAACTAATTCATTTTTAGATTTGAATTAAAAAATATGTATTTTGAAATATTACTTCGATTTTTATTCTTTTTTGGTGTATATATATATATATATTGAGGATTCTTCTCAAGAAAATACTTTCGTGGACAATATCGTTTTTAAGCTGGTGAAAAAGGTTTGTGCTGGCTTCCATTGTTCTGTGTAGGGTATTTCCGCATTTGCTCTTTTATTTTAGACTTAAATGATGGTTGCAGAGGCATCTCTAATAATGGTTCTAAATGGGGTCGGAAGGAAAAGGAACATTGAGTTTCTCTTATAAACCATCCTCCTCAAACTGAAAAACTTGTAAGCAGCACTGCACAAATTGAAAAGCAGTTTTTGCATAAGTTGGCACATGCTTGCCCTTGCTCAAAATATGCACAATAAGTTTGTTTTTTATGAAGAAAGAAAAGTGCCCAAAATCTGCAAAATAAGCTTGCTGTTAAGGAAAGTGCTAATTGTGTGGAGCACCAGCTGTGGACGTGATTTGAGCTTATTTTGTACCCTAAAATTGAAAAGTAAATGGCATTGGTTCCCTTCAGTGCTCTTGGCAAATTGGAGCCACTGAAGTTCAATTCAAGTTGAAAGCAATAAACTTGATCAAATTCCGATCAAACCACAAATAAACACAAATCAAACGATCGAAAATCATTCTTAAGATCTGCACATGCACACAACCACCAAAAATAAAACAATAAAACTCTCCTCAATCGATCAGGAAGCAATATCTGAACACAGATCCAAAATAACTAAAAAGCCGACAATCAAAGGACAAAATTTGAACCGAACTGAAATTTCATTGATTTAAAGCAAGGCAGGGCATCTAATTCCGTTTAAAACAGAACCTAAACCTTTACATCTAACAGAAGCCCTAATCCAGCAAAACCACAAAAGAGCCATCAAAATATCTTAAACCCAAGTCATTTAAGAGCTTGTGAACTTGGTGACAGCCTTGGTCCCTTCAGAAACAGCATGTTTCGCAAGCTCTCCAGGCAAAACCAATCGGACAGCAGTCTGGATCTCCCGAGAAGTGATGGTAGGCTTCTTGTTATACCTAGCAAGCCTTGAAGATTCTTGAGCAAGCTTCTCAAAGATATCATTGATGAAACTGTTCATGATACCCATAGCCTTGCTGGAGATTCCAATATCAGGGTGGACTTGCTTCAAGACCTTGAAGATGTAGATCTTGTAGGTCTCCACATTCTTCTTTGTCCTCTTCTTCTTCTTGTCGCTGGCTCCTCCTTCTTTAGGCAATTTCTTCTCTGCTCTTGGCTTCTTCTCCGCAGGGGCTTTCTCTGCTGCGGCCGGCTTCTTCTCGGCGGGCTTCTTCTCTGCCTTAGGAGCCATCTGGGATTCTTGAAAAAGCGAAAGTGAAAGGTTTTCTTTTTTTTTTTTTTAGCCGAGATATGGCAAACAGAGGGTTTTTAAGAGTTTTGTTTTGTGATGGGTTTGTGATGTAACTATATAGGAAGAGTAGATGAGTGCTAATTGGTTAGTTTTGGGGAGACGAGAATCGATGACGTGGAGGTTGGATTTGGAGGATTTAAATGGACGGTTAGAGATTGGGTTTTTGAGTGCTGGGGACCTGGGAGTTTTGAAAATTGAAATTTTTGTGTGGGGTTTTTGATTTTTGGGTTTCGCGGGCTGGTTAGAGTGAGGCGGGAAGTGGCTTAGAATTGGGCTTGTGAAAATACTGAGCCCGGGAGGACAGATTCTAAATTTTAAAAACGATCTTTTCTGTATTTTGTAAGTAACGGTGAGTCCTATTTAAAAAAAAAATATATATATATATAATTTGAACCAAGTCAGATAAAAAAATCTTGGAGGACGGGCAGTTAACTGTAAATTTTTTTTTTTTGTATTTTAGATATGAAAAATAATAGAATAGTGGTAAAATTTTTTTGGATAAATAGGGTATTTGAATAACCAAATCTTTTGATAAGTAAAGCAAATTCTACTGAAAAAAAAAACCTAATAATTACTCACATTATTATGTAACTCTTATGTAGCATAACAACAACAACACTTATAATTACGATTCCATTTGGCATGGTTTTTATAAAGTGATTTTTTTTTTCAACTTTTTGCTCGAAGAAAAATTGTAAATATATTTAGTTACAAATAACTCTTGGTCTGTACTAAAATTGTTATCAAGTTGAGTCAAATGTCTATGTTGATGAAGAGTTAAAACTTTCAACTCATTTCTTTTGACTTATACTGAGTTTCTTTTTTTCAGAATAAATTATTTTGAGTTGTTTTTGTCAAAATACTTCTAACTTTGCTATTTTTATCATAAGTCAATTATGATAATCCAAATTCAATCGATGTGTTTTACGTCTTACTATCGAAATCAAAATGAAATACTTGGAACAACAATTATCGTGTTTGGTACATACGGATAGAAATTAGAATAACATCAAATATTTACTATTATATCTTTCAATATCCATGGTAAATTTTGTCACAAAAGCAATTACAATTACAAAAATATATGAAATTTTTTGTTTATTCTTTAAAAATAAGCTAATTGTTTTATACATTATATATATTGTTTTTCCTCTAGGATTGAATTTTTAACAATAAGTCTTTAAACTAGTTTATTATGTTTTTCTCATCGATCTACTTTAGATAACACTAGTTTTTTTACCCACACTATGTTGTAGATTGGATGAAATACAAAAAAATATTTAAAAAAAAATATTTCAATTTGGTGCAACGTATTATATTGTGCATCTATCAAAATATATCAAATCAAAACTAAATAAAATTCATTCAATTTTTTAATTTTTTAATTAAAAGTTTGTATTCAGCTGATTATTCTTTATATTTTTCATAAATTTTTGATTAAAAAATATTATTTATTTATCTATATCCATATTCTTAACTAAAATATTTATAATAATGTAAGAAAAAAATATCAAAATCAATGGATTCTTAGCTAAAATCTTGTTTTGTAAATTGATTTTTTCTAAACATTTTTTTTTTGTTGCCTTGAAATTTTTAATTAAAAAAAAAGGAAAAAAATAAGGACCAAAATGACAAAAATGAAACAAAAAAGAGGGACCAAAATTAAACAAAAAAATACGGATTAAAAAACAATGTTTAAAAAAAAAGACCAAAGTGTAATATTACAAAAAATTTCATAATAAATGCCTTTAAAGAATTTTGAAAACTATGAAAAAAAAACCACTCGCACGATAAAAGGAATAATGCACTTGAATCTTGGTAAATAGTACAAATGAGTCTCGATAAACGAGTGTTTCAAATAATGCTAGTGAAGAGTAAACAATTTTTTACTTTAGCTTTTTTTTTTATTAATATCCACGTCCCGAGTTGTACTTCACATAACCATCATTAGATGTTGTACTATGCAAATAAAAAATAACCACAACGACAATAGATGCCCGACCAAAAACCATGTCAAATTTTTTTCAAGCTTTTTAATTTCAACCTTAAACGCTTTCAAGCAAGAAAGACAATCTTTTTTTTAGTCCAACGTATCGATACAAAGTGAATGTTGATGGTAAAGTCTCAATAATGCAATCAATTGTTTGGTTTGACTACTACTAATTGTCGTAATGACTTTAAAAAAAAATCAAAAATATGATCATACAATGATACTTATTGAATAGTTCATGTAGTATTAAAAAATCCCAAAAAACAATCATAAAATTTTAAATTCAACTATTACTAATTTTAAATTTTAATTAATAAACCTAATCTCAACGAGTGCAAACATGACGTTGTAGTTATTTGGGATACTAAAAAACACTTTAACTTTCTTATCATTTTAACCAATTATACTTTCTCCTTTAACTAATTTAGCTGGAGAAAGTCCTTCGAGATTCGCTAAAGTTTCAAACACTTTGCTTATTTTTTCACTCATAGAACATGTCAATTCCTTATCGGTTTCAACTAAAATTTTGATAGACTTTGATAGCTCCATGAACTCTGCTTGTAAAGAATCAATTACTAAAAATTTCCTCTTATACTCGTGTTTTTCTAGCTTTGGATTAATGGGTTGCATATTGACTTATAAAAGCTACTTCTGCCGAGTTTGAATGCATCTCATTCACATCCTCATCATCCATATTGTTGTTAGTTTTGTTGTTTTTTATAATTTCTTTTTCTCTAGGACCTTGAGCTTTGTCCCAGTAGCCCTATCTTTTGCATGTATTTCACATAATTTATCAAAATGGATAAATAACTTTATATACAATGCTGATACTCCATCATGACTCTACACAATAACATTGTGTTAATAAATTTAAAAAAAAATTAATATTTAATAATAACTTGAAACAAAATAGTCCACTACACGAGTGACTAATTGTATATAAAAAAAAATTGAACTTTACCTTTACCTATCTTGTAAAGATTGATTTATCTCCTATCATCATTTTTTTTATCATCATTTTATCCAAATCCGTTGCCATTTTTTTGCATCTCCAATATATAGCCAAGTTTTTTCTTCAATATCTTGATTCCTGGCTTGATATATGGTTTGCCTTTAACACTACATCTTGGTAGTTTTTCTTCCATAAGCTTCTAAACATGAGTATAATGTCCATTTTTATAACCAATATCCATTTACCAACTAGTGCCAACAAATTCCAAAGGATATCAACTAACATCAATTCTTCTTGACTATTCTAGTTTCTTTTATTCCTACCCCTTTCCCAAGCAAGTCTATGCTTGTAAAATAACCGCCCACAAAGTACTATGAAATGATATTGTTAATCTTTAGCCAACCTCCAACCCTACTAGCATCATAATTTTTAGTTTCATCCATTCCTAACGTGGACAAGTCCTTACTTTTCTCTAGCTTTGGAACTCGTTGATTAATGCATTATGGTAAAAGATAAATTACGGTTTATTCTTGTTAAAAACAACTATAGTGGAATTGCACGGATAAATTTTCTATGTCTACATGGTGAACAAATCTTGTTTTGTGGATAATTTTGTAGGCTCTAAATTAATCGAGTAATACTAAACTATTTTGCATTGAAAAACTCTTAAATGTCTTTTAATTAATTTTGGTTTATTAACTATTGAGAGCTCCATAATTCAACAATAGGTAGATTAATTGTTAATTGGCCCTAAAATTTTAAACATAACCTACTCGACAATACAAGACAAATCTATGAAAATAACATACGAAACAATAATTTTGTCATCCGAGCACTATTATAGGCCGATCGAAGCTTTAAATTTTTTTTTATAAAAAAAAACGGCTTTAAAATTGAAATTAACTAAAACATGCAATTTTGGTGGTTAATTAGGTATGATTAGAGAAAAAAAATTTCAATTTAGAATTATCTAAACATAAATAAATAAATAAAGAGAAAGCTTTACTTGTTTGAGTGAGAGAGATGAATAAAACAAATGAGATTGTAGGTTTGGTGGCTAATTAGGTATGATGAGAGAGAGAAAAAAATACAATAGTATTTATAATGGTATCAACGTAGTATTGTTTAAAATCTAAAGATATTTTTGAGAAAAAAATTATTGCTTTTTTTTTTCATTTCCACATATACATTCCCTCTCAAACTCGCCTCTCTAACAATAATAAAATCTCAAGAAAAATTTATTCTCGTTTCCTATTTATATTTTCATTCCCGTATCATTTCAAGTTACCAAACACTCCAATGTGAATTCCCATTTCGAGTGCTTCATTCCTCGTTACCAAGTAGCATCTAAGGTTTTTATAGTTTTTCCTAATGAATGTCTATAAGGATTAGCCTTAGAAATTCACCAAATGACCTTGAAATTTTTCCCAACAAATGTCTAATGGAGTTAGTCTTTGAAAGCACCGAAGGGTGATGAAATTTCCCAACAAATGTTTACAATTTTTTTTTTTTTTTTGATAAAAGTATTCTCAAACCAATTCACACATTAATTAACATTAAATTTATTTTTAGATTATTTTAAAGATACACCTCTTGTGTTAACTCTGGTGTATTTATAGAACATCGATAAATTCTTTGAGAAACTAACTCTAAAATTTGAATTTAAGAAATCAAGGAACATGGAAAGTATTTTTAATGAATGTGAGGGGATTCTTGAGGACTAATAGATAATTAGTCGACGAGCCACTCGATATACAAAGAGCTAGCATTGTGTTTTATAGAAACAATAATTAACCAATCAAGTAAAAAGGATGCAAGTACCGATAGATGTGTAAGAAAGAGCAAGTAGTGCTAGTATGGCGCAACTCGAGTATATGACAAATGAGTAGTCAAAGTTCAAACGGATGAAGTTTTAGATGTAATCTAGTATGTGAGTAAGGGAGTTCCTCATCGGTAAGATAATAGTGTTGATCACTAAAAGTAATAACTTAATAAAATAATTGGTGGTTGTGCACAATTGCATGACGAGTATTTGGTAGATGAGTGTCTTCCCTATCATTCAACTAAACAAGTAGTATTAGATCATTCTTTGCATTAACAATTCGTGGTATTGCGGTTTGAGGGAGAGCGAGTGAGGAGTTCCACCCATAAAAAGTAGTCGGATGATGATAAAACTTTTGAACTCTATCGCTCTCACACTATACAATATCTAAAGCTCTATTCATTAAGACTTTAACTATCTATCTATCGGTCACTCGATTTGCGTTTTAGTAGAATTGCTTACTCTTTCCCACACGCCATTCACTTGCTTGCATCATTTTTGTTTGGTTGGTCGATTATTATTTTTACAAGTGACAACATCATCTATTTGTATCTTGATTGGCTTGTCGATCAATCGTCTATCAATTCTCAAGAATTCCCTATACGAGTGTATACAATAACGAGTCTTGCAAAAATACCTAAAGAAACCTAAATTTTTCTCCATCCATCTATTGAGAGAAAGTTTGTTGTCTTAAAGTTCTTTGATTCTTTTTAAATAGATTGAGAAAAGATGAATAAGTAGAAGCAGTAATCTTTGATATGTCTCCTCAAATTAATTAAAAAAACAATAATCATTGGTCATCAAAAAATATATTAGATCATCTCAAACTAATTGAGAAAAATAATGCTAATCCATAACTTAAGTAGGTCTCTAATTTTCTTCAAATTTATTGAAAAAATAACCATTAACACAAACAATAACAATGGATCGTTTTCAAAATGATTGATAAAGTAAATTTCATAAAAATAATAAACATCGAATATCCTTTAGTTTTTTTCCCAATGAAAGTTAATAAAAGAAAAAAAAATATTTCTCTAATAAAAACATACGAGGATTCCAAAAACAAATGCTTTGAGATCCAAATCTCTATATTGTGTAGGTAGAGTATAAGGTAAGAAAAATTCGTTCACATTGGTTTGGAGTTGAATGAAAAATGTTAGAATACGAAAAACACGAAGTAAGGAGAAAATGGCTACTGATGTCTTCTAAGCAATACATTATGAAACCAAAATTGTCAAGCTGGAACCGAACTAGCTGTTTCAATTGGGTTAACCCTAGATTAGTCAAATCATAAGGTTGGATTTTACTTTCAATTCATATATTAAAAACCAGGTCGATAATTATTGAACTGGATGGTTTAATATAAAACTAAACTGTTTGGTTCTACCAAGTTAACTGTAATGTAGTCAATTTATTGAATTGAATTACACTTTTAACCTGGATGTTAGAAAATCCGACCTATAACCACGGAACCGGACGGTTCAATATAGAAACCATTAGCTTACAAAATTTAAAAAATTAACGACATGGAGGAGTCATTCCTTGCTTTGGGCACAAGCATTCAGTCACTCCACCAATACGTCATTCATGTATAGACAATTCATTGTTATATATAGATAAGAGATATCTAATGTATGCCCATTTGTCTTTTGCCATTTCTTTTTTTGTTCTTGCTTGCAAAAAATGTTGTCTGCCTCGTTTGTCTTTTTTTTCAACATCATTGTATATAACAATTTTACCTTTTTTAATAGCATTTTTATTATAAAATAAATTAAGCATTCACTTAATTGAAATACATATATTAGAAAAATATTTTTAAATATACCTACGTTCGCTTTAATAATTATATTGAGACTGAGAAATAAATTAAATACCGCATAATTTAGTTTAATTTCGTATGAAATTCGTACTCCTTATACGTCAATAGAAATTTTTTAATACGAGATCTTTTCTATTATTAAGATTATAATCTGTTTGAAATATTGTGAAATTACAAACATCATTCAAGTTTAAAAGTTTTACACAAACCATCCCGTTTTTTTTTTACATAAATTCTCACTACAATTAAACAAATATTACAAAAATTCCTTTTATATATAAATGATCTTATTGTTTGATCTGGGCTGAACACTAATTCCTTCCTGATTCCGCCTTTAAGCGCCAACCCTTTCTCTCTCTCTTCTTTTTTTCCCTCGGGTTTCCTCTTGTGTTTTGGAATTTGTTCTCTTGAATTTAGCCAATCCTCTCTCTTTAAATAATGAACATAACGTTACGCCTAGTATCTCAAAGTTATTCTTATGCAATTGCACCATCAATTAACTCTATCCCTATACAATTGAGTTCTTGAAAATCATTATTGACCAATCAATTAAAACCAACTCAATGAAATTAAAACTAATTAATCTCCGTAGGGTAAACATGGGTTTTCACAATTTTTTCATGCCTTCGCCATATTTTCATTTTATTATGGTTTTTAGTGTTTTTTTTAAATTCATATTTTCTCCTTAACTTGCCAAAGCAACCCTAACGCAACCACAAGAAAGGTGAAAATATCCACCTAAAATGATCACCCTCAACAACTCAAAAACCTTTACTGGATTCATCCTTCATTTATGGAGGAAAATGTCAAATTCTTCCCATGTGCATTGCTACATGTTAGGTTGGGATCTAATGAGTTAATAAAGGTAGTTAATAACATTGTTAGATGAAGAAAATGAGTTAATTATATTTTTTAGTTTATTAAGTTATTAATTTTTTTTAATTACATTTGTCATTTTTAATTTTTATTATTTGAGTAATGCAAGCTGTAATTTTTTTTCAATCAAATGTCTTCGTTAAAGTTTTTATCAATTTTTTTTGTTATTTAAACGTGTGGTACGTTTTGAAGATCCATTTGACACGCTACAATGATGCGACAGCCACGTCTAAGACACGTACCTCCCATGTGTAAATGACATGGAAAAAAAAAAAAAAAAAAACAGAAGCTCTCACAATCTCCCTCTCGTTTTCTTGCAAGTTCCAATAGATAAATAGAATAGAAATCCTCATATAATACTTTCTGTTTTTTTCGCTTCTCTTCTTCTTCCATTTCATTCCACCAATCCTCATGGAGATTATTAAATTCCTATTCTGTATCATAATAATTGAACTGAATCATTAATTGAGGAAAAAGGAATCTGATTGCATTTCCTCCTTTTCTATCTTTGGATCCATTTTTCAAATAAGTAAATCTTTTTTATTTTCATTTTCTTTAGCTGCTAAAAATGAATTCACTGCTTAACAGTAACAATTTTTCACCTTCTGATTGTGTTTGTTTCTCTTTTTGTTTGTTCGTTCGTTGATGCTGGCCATCTATGCCACTTAATTGTTGCTACTTGCCGTCGTTGTTGGAGAAGCTGCCGTAATAATCAATAGTTTCCAGTGCACGCAGTCCCTCCGTTTTTGGAAAAGACGAATTTTAGTATCTATTATTCTGATTTCGGCAACAAGTCCCTGTCCCTCCTTTTTATTTAATTACAAATGATTTATTTGTTTGATTAAAATACGATTATGATCATATTAGATAAAGGTGGTTGATATATTTGTGGCTTAGAGGAGTTTAAAAATTGATTAGTTGATGATACGTGGAGAGAAGGGCTGACTTGATCGATTTGTGCGTACATGGATTGTTTTGTTTTTGTTATGATTTGAGTCAGATTTTGAGCTGAATTTTTATATGGTAGAAAGAAAATTCTAAAAATAAAAGAATAATTTGATCCATTATTCATAACTTTAGCTTTATTTTGTGGGAATAAGAAATGAAGAATATTACCTATCTTTTCAGATTTGTATATATTGACAATAGTAATTTTTATTTGTGTAGGTAGCTATTTTGGCGTTGAAGCAAAGTTTGTGATTGTGGGAAGGTGTCCAAGTGTTGATCATTTCGATTGGCCTGTCCCTCCTTATTGCAACTGCGTTTCTTTTTCATGTTTATGCTTGGAACCTCATTGCGACACATGTAAACTAACAATTAAAAAAACAGAAGTTTGGTTTGAAACAATAAAAAAAGATTTACAGTTTTTTTTTTATCATGTAATTTACACGTGGCAGCCAAGCGTCAAGCGGGTTTCATGTTTTTGCATGTGTGCAAGTAATTAAAAAATTTGATGGAAGCTCAATAGCAATATTTGATTAAAAAAAAATTACAACTTAAATGACTTAAACAACAAAATTAAAGAAGATATACTTAATTAAAAAAAAATTGACAACTTAACTGAAAATGTGATAACTTTGTAGAAAAACGAGGAAGGTAATTAGTAAAAAGGCTAAAATTTATTTTATTACTTTCTTGATTTTAAAAGATTTCCCCAAATTCCATGTAATTTTGTTACCATTGACTTTGTTTTAGATAAAAAAAAATTGATATTCACTCCATTATTATTTCATAAATAACTATATATTTTGGCAATTTGTTTGGCAACCACCTATATATGAATCGAACTGAGCAAATAATTGACCTATAATTAATGGTGAGGCAAGCCAAACCATTAATTATAATCCTTAATTAAAGTTGACTTGTCATGGGATTTAAAGCCAACAATTACATGGACCAAGAAAAATCTCCAAGACTTTTCGTTTTGAAAAAATAAAAATCACGATGAACAACCGACTAATTTATAAATTTAGTCTATCTAGTTTTGAATAACAAGTTACTTAGTCCTTTTTTATTTCAAATCTAATTATTTAATTTCTTAATCATCACCGATCATGTTTAATTTAATATTATTTTATTTAAAAAATTCTTATTTTTTCATCAATTTTTTTTCATAATATTTACTTATTTTTTATTTTAAAACAAAACAAATTAGAAAAAAATAAAATGGATAAAAAAGATTACATGAAAATAGAGAGAGACTAGTTAATATGTTTTTCAAAACTAAAAGGACTAATTTATAATTTACTCATGGACTACCAGGCATAGCACGACGAAGGAGACCGCATCTCACTTGCCATGAGCTGTAATATCTACAGTTTTATATTGCGGAAATATCTCAACCGCAGCCCACATGGTTTCACGTAGTAGTAGTTTCCATTTGCAGATCAAGTGGATTTAATATATATTGTATTGCTCAATTGCATACATGTACCTTGAATCCTGAATAAATTCACATAAATATTTATCAAGATGATTATTATTAAAAAAAATAAAAATAAACGACCGACAACGTTGGGAATAATTGAATAAACGATCAGTAATTATCAAAAGAATCTGTCTTAAAAGTGTGCCTTTCAGACCACATAGACGAGTAAAAGTATTTTTTTTAATTTTTTTAAAGATTTCTTATGTAGGCAATAAACCAATAAGTTTTAGTTTAAATAGCACTCGACAAAATTATAAAAAAAGAAAAGAAAAAGAAAAACACTCAATAGTTTTTGAAGAATGGCATTTGTTCAGATAAATTTCTTTTTAGTCTGCTAATAATTGATTTTCTTTTTCTTTTTATGAGATTCACCAATCCAACTAATCCACCTTATCAATAATTGATATTGTTTTAAAAAATTATCCGGGCAACTAGTTTAGAACCAACGACATTATTTGTTTATTTATTTTTTTCTTGGATGGGTTACTTCTTAAAAAAATAAAATAAAAATTAGCCCCATAAAAAAAAAGAAAAAAGAAAGGGGCAGAGAAATTGATTTATAGCTGAATAGGGTATTTATGGGACCGTGGGCATAAAAGAGGCAAATGTTTGGCACCTAGCTGCATAAACGAAAAAAGAAGGTTATTACTTACTTATTATTATTTATTACCACACCTTCATGATTGATTTCACTTTTTGTTACTGAAATTAAGTACAATACTCAAATTTTTGTAACAGTAATTCATGTTTACTCAAAAGGTTAGAATAAAAAAATCCTTAGAAAAGTAAAAACAGTGGCAGAGGGCAGAAAAAAGAGGAAATGCTTGGTAACTAGCTAAGCTAAAAATCTAAGGGCCATTACGTTGAAAAAAAGAAACAAAATAGGTTAATAAAGATTGAAAACACAAGAGTTGGTTTTCAAGGGTTAAAACCAACCTAGAAACAAAACCACCATGGATAAGTGAGAGAGAGAGAGAGGGAGAAAAAAGAAAGAAAGAGAGAAACAGCAAGTTGTAAATCAGCATTTCTCATTTTACAAAAACCACTAGGCAGAGGCACCTTCAAAAACCTCAACAAGAGGTAGCAGTAACTCTTTTTCTTATCCTCTACGCGCATTTTAGAATATAGTGTCTGTTATTGATTTTTATTTCTTTTAGGCATTTTATTGTGTAGTAATTTGATAGTTTCTGTTTCTAGAAGATAAGGAGAGATGGAATCGACGGAGTCGTCTTACGTTTCATCACCGGAGCAACAGCAGAAAAGATCTCCTCCACCGCCTGCATCGCCGACTTCAGGTTTCTCTGATCTGATCTGAGCGTTTTTCTGCTTTGTTTTTCTTTTTTCTTTTTTATTTTACCACAATGAGTAACGATAACGGTTTTGTTATTGTATTTGAGGTTACATTTTCTCAATTTTGTGTTAGGATTGACTGCAAGGAGGAATTAGTTGTTTTTTTCCGCTAAATTTTGGTAGTTTTGACTTGAAATTGAAATCTTAACCCTAGATTTCTGAAAGAAAGATAAATTGTTAGTTTTAAGTTCTGTTTGGTTGGTGAGAGAACTGTGGAAAATGAAGAAAAATTAAATTTGGAATCTCAATTTGGCTTGAAATTGATTTCCCTGCCTTCAGGTTCTTGCTGAGCTTATATTTGCGTTTTTTACTTTTCAGATTCGGAGGAGAAGCTGACATATATCAGGTTTCTAGTCTCAAATGCGGCAGCTGGCTCTGTGATTGGAAAAGGTGGTGCTACGATTACTGATTTTCAGTCACAATCTGGAGCGAGAATTCAGTTGTCTAGAAATTATGAGTTTTTCCCGGGAACATCTGATAGGATAATTATGATATCTGGAGGGATTGATGATGCGTTGAAGGCTGTGGAACTTATAATTTCTAAATTGCTCAGAGAGGTAGTTATTGTGACATAGGGTTGGTCTATATAATATGCTTTGTGTTTTCTGATGTTCATTTGTTTTGTTGGTCAGATTCCTGCTGAAGATGGAGATGATGCCGAACCAAGAATGAGAGTGAGATTAGTTGTTCCCAATACTGCTTGTGGAAGCATTATTGGGAAAGGAGGGTCCATTATAAAGTATGAATACTTCTTTTATATTCTTTTCATAATATATGTTTAGTTGAGGCCTTGAAAAGTAAAAAAAATAATAATAAAGAGTTATATAATTTATTTTGTACCTGGAAATTTTATTCGCATTTATTTAATTAATAGTTGCTAGCTGGATTAAAGTGAAGCATGAATGTTGGTCTGTGAGGACGTGTATTTAACTTCATGAGAAATTATAGCAGCCCTACTTGGTGCTTAGAAATCCATCTGTGGAATCAAGTTCTGTTTAAGTATGATTTTAGCATATCGATGTGTATTTCCTGGTAATACGGAATACACAACCTCCTTTCTTCGAGGGCTGTGGCAAACTTTGGATGCATCAGTCCATTACTAAGAATTATTCATTGCGTAGATTTGAACTTAAAACTCAAGACCTTATGACTCAATCTGAGCTAATTACGTTGGTTTATTTATTCATGTTGATTTATAGCAGCACATAGGGAACTTCAACCATTTGATTCATCTAAATGCATAAAGTGAATAGATATTGATTGTAATGCATGAAATTTTGTCGTTTATTTTGTTTTTAATCCTTTCTTTGGGGATTGTGCTGCTCTTTTAGGCTATGATTGGGTGTTGTTCTGGTCTTATGACCATCTACCATTTTTCTTGTAAGACCAAGAAAGGGGAACTTTAATTTCTTATTTTGTTTCTTGTAAGACTGTCTAGAAGTTAAGTGGATCGTTTCAAATCAAAGCTGAGGGGGAAGTGTACAATGCTGATTTCTGCCTTTCTGCAGGTCATTTATTGAAGATTCCCATGCTGGCATCAAGATTTCTCCTCTGGATACCAATTTTTTTGGATTGACTGATAGGCTGGTTACAATAACAGGAACTATAGCAGAGCAAATGCATGCAATTGATTTGATTTTGTCTAAGCTAGCTGATGACCCTCATTACTCCCAGACTATGCATGCTCCATTTTCATATGCAGGTGTGACTCTTGCCATTAGCTTCTCATTCAGTAATGCTCTCTTTTTATTGGAAGAAAAAGCTTCTACTTTCTACCTTTATCTCTACATGTAGTTTTTTTTTTCTTATCACATTTTGATTCTTTATGAATTCATAAACTTGATTACTATCATGGTTAATGGAAGTATCATGATGTAAAGCTCCCCCTGCTTTACCCTGGGGAAAGATTTGGGAATGTTCTAAACTCTGTCAGGGTGCCCATGGAAAAGATGATTAGTGTTTGGGGAGGGTTGATTTGAAATTTCGGTTTGGTTTTTGGTTCAGGTGCTTATTTTGCAAGAAAAATTTGAATGTCATTGAGTTCTGTTCTTATGACTACAAAGCACAATTGTATTCAAGCAATTGTGCATTGCTGATCATGTTTTGGTCTTCCATTAGTGCAAAGGATTCTTTCTCCACAAGCATCTTTTAGTAAATTGGTGGGATTTAGGCAACTTCTTAAGTCTTAACTGACCTATCAGACTCTAAAGGTACCACTTACATATGGTATTAGAGTTTTTTTAACCCTGGATCATGTGTTTCTGACTACATTCTTCATTAAGGAAGTCTTGACTTTGTTTTTTCTATCAATCTGACAATTGGTAGCTATTTATCTAATCTTTCAAAAACTTTGGGATGTTTGAGCAAAGGTTACGTGACATGATTTTCCTCGAGGATCTGAAAAGTTCTGTTAATCCTTTTCTTTTATAATATAATCCCTTCTAATACATTCTTCATTAAGGAAGTTTTGACTTTGTTTTTTCTATCAATCTGACAGTTAATTGGTAGCTATTTATTTAATCTTTGAAAAACTTGTGGATGTTTGAGCAAAGGTCACGTGACATGATTTTCCTCAAGGTTTCTGAAAATTTATTCCATTTAAACCTTTTCTTTTAAAATATAATCCCTTTTAAGATTCTTTTAACTCGAATAGGTGTTTTCTTCTATGGTTTTGACGGTATTCCATATGCATATGTGCTTCCTTATGTTGCTACAGCAGCTTACAATTCAATGAACCATGGGCTGAATGGGGCTGGAGTAAAGTTTCAGCAAAACAAGGTTCATCCTATTCTATAATTCTCTATGCTTTAACTGAGTATTCTGATGTTAATGCAGTCTCCATAGTTGAACTTGGCAGTTACAAGTTTATTTTGGAATGCTATAACAGATTTTTGAATAATGCTGATTTGTTTATGATTATTCATTGCTAGTTGATCTTCCTGTATGTTCGTGAGATGAAATGTGCCTTTTCAGTTCAAGTTGGTGTTTCCTTTCCTGTCTTTAGGTTTTCTCACAACATTTGAGCTGCGTTGCTGAATATTTGCTGAGATTTTATAATGTTTTAGCGATTGGAAATATTTTTCAGTAATCAAATTCAAGCATCCTGTCATACTTCTTTGGCCTATTTATCTAATGCTTTAAAGAATTTCCCATGAAGGCCACACGTACAGTCTATCTGTGTGGCAACACATAACAGTGCTCATGTCCTTTATATATGTTTCTCTCAGGTTGCGTAAGGTTTAGTGTTGGTAGTTTGGTACCAATCCTAAATTGGGTATTGGAATATCCATCATAGATCGTTTCTAGCTGATTCACCTCTTCTCATTGGGAATTCAATCATCAATATCTCTATATTTTTTGGTGCTGTTCTGAAAACATTCATATGCTAGATATAGTTAAAGAGTATGTTTGTTGTGATTGATAGACGGCCTTATGACGTTTTTCAGGAGGATCGTACCAATTCTGTGACAATTGGTGTTGCTGATGAACATATTGGATTGGTTGTTGGTCGTGGCGGAAGAAATATAATGGAAATTAGCCAGGTTTTTAACAGATGATCTGTATCATCCTTTATTGTTTTGCTTTGTTTCCCCTCCTAATGCAGAGCTCTCTGTTTTGGCAGAATAGTGGAGCCAGGATAAAAATATCAGACAGAGGTGATTTCATGTCTGGAACAACTGATAGGTATGCGAATGGATTTTGAATCAGTCAATTTACTACTCAAAATGTGTTCTGAAGTGATGAGAGTTTTAATTCTGTTCTTCTCTATATTCTTCTGCAGGAAAATTACAATAACCGGATCACAGAGGGCCATCCGTGCAGCTGAGGACATGATAATGCAGAAGGTATCCTATGCTTCTGAGAGGGAGACTGATTAGCCTTCGAGGGTTCTAAATTATTCTTATTGCAAATTTTTCTGTGGACCTTGCAATTTCCTCATTTATTTGGTGTTCCTCAAATTTGGTAAGCAATTCAAAAACTGTGATGGAAGGAGAAAGAAGGGAGAGAAATTCTTCATTATAGAGAGGTTTCTATAGGAAATTCTTCACAGGGTACAAATTCTGTTTCTGGAAACAGTTGTTGGATTAGGCTATGTTAGCTTGTCTGAGTATTAGATTTTAGCCGTGTTTATCTCCTTGATACAGTTGTAATTTTTAAATTAATACATGTTTTACATCTGAGCTATGTTTTTAAAGGATACTTTGCTATAGTTAAAATGGAAATTTGCTGAACCATTTCCTTTGACACTTCAAATTTTGTAATGTCTCTTTCTTTTAGATGGGCCTGAGCACTGATGCTGATATTTTTGGCAATAAATTTAGTAGTACAAGAAATTTAAGCTTGTTTGAAGGCCGTAAGAATTGAATGCGGACATTGTTGTCATTCTATATCACTTGTTAGACTTTTCTGATTCCAAGGATGACCATTGTTATGCAAAATCCTATTAGGACTTTCTGTTTAGCTTTTCAGAATGTTGAACGGATCCAAGGTGATCCTTTGGTTGTAAAGTTCATTTTGCAGCTTCTAATGGCCCTTTGGCCACCTGTGGTGAAGGATAGAAAACGTTGTGTGACATTTCGGTAGAGTGAAAGTAGTTTTAAATACTGAAGATTACCTCATTAACCAGGTCAGACTTTTACACAGGTTTTCTTTTTACCAGCCATGTACTAAGGCTGACTATTTTCACTTGTGACGTAGCATTTTACCGCATGCAAAGTCAACTGTGAGTCTTGGGATGAATTTTTTAATTTTCTTAAGTTCAAGCTCTTTCCTTTTAATTTTTTTAAAGTCTTTTTTTGTATTTTTTTGATGAAATTCCGTTTGTATGAAGCGATATATTCACATTTGATTAGGGAAGGGGAGAGATTATTAATAACATAAAATTTCAAAATAAATGGAATTTTTTTTATATTATGGAATATGAAGAAGTGGTTTTAGTAACAGTGATCAGCAGACATACATGCTCTATTGCAGTCGCTCGCCAACATACTATCTGCATGCATGGGTGAGCTACTGCAATTTTATTTCAGCATACAAACGACTGATTGAATAGTGCTATCTAAACGAAAACGTAACCTCATGTTCATGGAAAGCCATCATCTTCCCCTCCTCCATGTCCAGACCCGTAGCCCTCCCCATAACCTGACCCACTACCATAACCCGAACCAGAGCCGGATCCTCCTCCGCCCCCACCACCACCACCTCCTCCTCCTCCTCCACCCCCACCTCCACCTTTGCCACCGCCGCTTCCACTTCCATATCCTGACCCGCTTCCACTTCCATAGCCTGAACCACTTCCTGACCCTGAGCCTCCACCTCCACCACCACCTCCTCCTTTGCCACCACCTCCACCTCCACCACCTCCTTTCCCACCACCGGAACCATAGCCTGAGCCACCACCAGACCCATAGCCAGAACCATAGCCACTGCTGCCGCCTCCACCTCCACTTCCACCTCCACCTCCCCCGCCTCCTCCATGACCACCACCACCATATTCCTCAGGACCCCCATATCCCTCACCACCCCCAGACCCAGACCCAGAACCATAACCTGACCCAAGTCGTGATGCTGAACCACCTCCACCACCACCACCACCTCCCTTCCCTCCACCTCCACCTCCACCTCCCTTTAGTGTCCTAGCAGCAAAGGTGAGGTCTACAATAAGCAAGACCAAAAACGCAGCCCCGATCACCCTTGAACTCGCCATTTCCAAATTAAACTCGCACAACTCGGTATATCTGTATGTTTGTGTGTGTCACCCCCTACGTGAGAAACCAGTATGCTTTTTGACTGAAAATGCCCGAGGTGGTACCCCTATATATAAGCATTGTAAAGTTGACAAGACACGGTTTTTGAAAAGTTTCTTAAATTTCTAGTACATTCTATCACTTGGTAATATCGATGATGATAGAACGTAACGTGTGTTTTGGGCTTTTGTTTTAGTGGAGGGTGTTGGTGGTGGGGGGTGACGGTGGTGGTATTGTGGAGGACCGTCTGTTTTTGTCTTCATGCAAAAGCAGCATAGAATAAAAGCTTTATTCCCACCTTTTGACTTGGAAGTGTCTTATAGTATTTAATTTTGGAAACGGGACCAATGGCTTGCATTTCCCACTCTTATCATCCTGTTCATATTTGAACTCCACTTTCAATACATAAAATTTCCATGCACTAGCAGTATTGTGGTGATTTAAGCTAGCAATTGTCTCCTTAAGCATATATGTATCCACTAATACTGGTGATTCAAGTACACAGATGTCTGTTTAAGCTTTCTGCATGTATGTTCACAATGGTCTAAACTTGCACGACAAACTGGGTTGTCTAGTCATTTCTTATTGTTATTAGATTTGGAATAGGATTAATCTTCAATTCCCATGATGTTATAGAACACTTGACATCATTGAATATGGAACGATCTGTACTTAAAACTTTGTCTGAAATGTCTATAATTTAAAACTTTGGTGCTTGTTCTAATGCATGAAAGCACAATCCTTTTGCTTCCATGCATGGAAAATGATAACTTTCTTGGATGCCATGTTTTAACAGATCTCAGTAATTACATTGGCTTTACTATAATGGTTGTGCCTTGCACCACATCCTTTTTTTTTTTTTTTTTTTTCCCTTCCACGAGTTTTCTTGAACAAGACATGGGCATTATCAATTACCAATAGTTTTCGACTTTGGTGCCTCCATTGATTAGAGCACCATCTATGCTATCAAATTTCGTAGCATTCTTCTTTATGTTTTCCTATCCAATAAAACAAGCCATAAGTTGAAATGTGAACGACTTCTTGTAAGCTTTCACGTATTCCAGCTTCAAGTGTACTTCCCAACACCACATTCTACTGTTCAGGATATCCTGAAAATCTTAAGCCACAAAAACCCACTAACTCACCAACCAAAATTTCCCTGTCCCAATCTCTCCATAGAATGTTAGTGTGGTCTGCGTTCTTTCTTTAGATGTACGCTTATACCGACAACTGGCACGTTACTTTCTTCTAGTTTGCCTATGGTGTCCATCTGTATAGCATGCTTGCTTTCAATCATAGCAACCTAGCCATCATATCCTCTACCAATATAGAAATGGGCTATTGGGAATTTCTGACTTTCAAGGATTCTGACTCAAGCACAACTTCTAAGCTTTCTTACAATTCACAGCTTGATTAGGTCTATAGTTCAACAATGCCTAAAGTGTTCTGTGAAGGATGCCAGATGTGGAAGAAGTGGAAGCCATTATCTTGTGATTAGTGGCAAGCATTATGTGCATGTGCTCTTGAAGATTGTGTGTGATCAGCTAGTCAATTATATATTACCAACTCCAATAACGAATGTGATCGGAAGATTCTTTTCATGGATATGCCCTCATTATTTAACATATCCCATCAGCCATGATTTTAAGGTTGATTATTAAGTGATCGACAGAGACAGTAGTGATAGGCTTGCAGGGCTATCTGGCTTGCGCCAGAATCAACTTCGCTGGATCTATGCATAAGTCGGCAGGGAATAGCAATTATTACTGCTGGTTATATGACTCCCTGTTGGTCATTTCCCTTTTTTGCCACAGAACAAAGAAAGAAGGAAAAGGAAAAAAAGACCATAATTTTGGTCAAATTATGTTATTTTCTAAACTGAATTGCATAGAAAAACACTTCCTTATTTTTCCGTAACAAAACTTGAAGGAATAATGATTTCGACTTACACTGCTACAATATAAAAAATAAGGATTTAACGAATAAGCTAATGCCTTTTTTTTTTTTTTTCATGACTTCAAGCAACCTTAATTTAATTTTTGTCAAATTTCTGTAACTAAATTACATAAACGAAAACACCTCACCCGCTTTTTTGAAACAGAAAATGAAGTAACCAAGACTTCAGTTTACACTGCTACAATGTAAAAAGAAGGATTTAACCAATGAGCTAGTGCTCTGTTTGATTTTTCTTCCATGACTTCAAGTAAACATAACTGCGGTAAAATTTATGGTATTTTCTATAACTTAATTATATTGACAAAAAAAAATCATTTATTTTTCCCTAATAAAAAGTGAAGTAACCATGACTTGAACTCACACTGCAACAATACAAAAAAAGAGGGAAAAAAAGTTTTAACCAAGCAAACATAAGGAGCTAGTGCCTTTTTTTTTTTTTCATGACCTCAAGCAAACATAACCTTGGTTAAATTTATGTTATTTTTTGAGACGAGGTTGCATATACAAAAATACTTCATTTACTTTCATAAGAGCAAGTGAAGTAACCATGACTTTAGTTGACTACAATGTATTAATTTATTGGTAAGTAAGTATCGATTTGTAAGTCGGGTTTAGAATTTAATCCTTATGGTTACTATTTTTGAGAATTTATTTTTAAAAAACTCGAGACAATATGTTAAGGAATGTCTTTTAATCACATTTAAAGAAAAATTAATCTCGAGATATGTGAAAACTGATTTGAAAACATCTTTATTGTTGAATTAAAAAAAAAAAAAAACCATGACTGCAACAATATACATAAAGATTTAACCAATGAGCTAGTGTCCCTTTTTTCCTTCCATGACCTCAAGCAATTATAATTTTGGTGAAATTTATATGATTTTCTGCGACTGAATTATATAGACAAAACAATATACTTGTTTTTATGTAACAAAATGTCAAATAAGTAACATAAAAAACAAGGATTCAGCCGATGAGCTAGTGCTAAAGAGCCCTTTGGAAGGAGTTCTAACTATATAACCAAAAGTATGTAAAACAATGGCTCCAGTCCAATACTCAATCTGATCATTTTTTGCCTTCAATCCGATATTCAATCTGATCTTGTGTTGGATATTTCTTAGCAATTGCTCGACAATTTACGGAAGGCTCACAATATCAAGGTTGTTGGATACCTTGATGCAAAGTATATAGGGTTAAACAAGCAAGAACTTTACTCCATATTGTCAACTTGCTCTTGATAGCACCCAAGATGTTTTGAAAGAGTTAAAGAGTGCTTCCGGTTTTTTCCAAAGTCGTCATTATTCACATTTACGTTTACATGCCGCCCGCTCATCTAATTTTTTTTTTTTTATTAGTAAACATTTTTTTCTAAGTTTGTAGACAAAAGTATATGAATTAGGAATTTTTATAGATTTTTTTGTCAATTTCTCAAAAGAACCCTAACAGAAGGGTAAATTCTAATGTTCATATGGTTTAGGGGCCAAAATTATGGACTGTTTAGCTCACGAGGGTTTTTTTTTTTTTTTTGGCTCAAGCTAAGGGGATGTTTTACGATTACAATAAAACTAAATCAAAACCATTGATTAGTATTCACTGTATTATTTTGAATACTAGTTACCCATACTCGAGTCATATTATTCATCCAAACTTAGATACGGTATTCCTTCTACTAAGCAGTGACATTTTTATAGTTTTTAAATATTTATTATGAACGTTTTTGTAATATTATACTTTGATCCCTCTTTTTGAAATATTTTTTTTAGTTCACAAATATTTTTATTTGACTTTTTCGTCTTACTTTTTTGTTTTATTTTAATCACTTCGGTCCTTGTTTTTTTCGTTGATTTTTTTGATTAAAAATTTTTAGAAAAAATAATGTAAAAAATAAGGTTTTAGCTAAAAATGTGAATAAAGATAAATAAATAATATTTTTTAATAAAAAGTTTATGAAAATATAAAAAAATAATTAATCAAATACAAAATTTTAATTAAAAATGATAAAATTAAATTAATATTTATTTATTTTTTATTTGATTTATTTTGATAAACACACAATATAATATGGATATAAAAATAAAATATTTTTTTAGAAATAATTTTATGTATTTCGTTAAATATTGTGGATTAAAAAAGATAATTCAACCGAAGACAAAACATGCCAACTCACTAGTACAACTCCACGGCCGCCTTTAGGAAAAAAAAAACAAAAAAAATCAATAGAACGGAGTCGTCTCATAAAGCATAGCTAGCCACCGAAGAAGGGATCTCCTCCACGGTCTAAATAGCCGCCTTCACTTATCTGCTTTACGCAATTACCTTTATGTCCTCTACTTAATTATATAGCTGTTTTTTTTAGTCCCATTTTCTATAATTTATGATAATACGACTGCAAAGTGAAATTATTATTTGTTTACTCAAATTCTGGCTATTTTAACTTTAATTGAAACATTAACCCTTCATTTTTTCAAAGGAAGAGAAATTGTTGGTCTTAAATTCTGTTTGGTTGATGAGAAAACTGTGGAAAATGAAGCAAAGTCAAATTTGAAGTCTCATTGTGGTGTTAAAATCTGTAAACTTACTTTATAATTGATCTGATTATTTCCTCGTTTCTTAAAACATACGTATAAGAAATGAATTAATTCATGTCCTTGTCATGCTAAAATGTTGCTTCTGTTTCATATTTTGTCTTGTCAGATTCGGAGAAGATGACGTATTAGGTTTCTTGTGTGAAATTCATTAGCTGGTTCTGTGATTGGAAAGGGTGGCGCAACAATTGCTGATTCTCAGTCGCAATCTGGAGCAAATATTTAATTCTCGTCGGCACTATTTATTTAGTTTTTTTTCCGGGAACATCTGATAGGATAATGAAAAAGTCTTCATTGTTTCTATCCAGACACGTGTTTTGTTAAAGCTCTAGAAATGGAAATGAGAAGCTTTTCAGCTTGATCTATAACGATGGCAAGCTAATTTGGATGCCAGATCAATGCGAAGTTATTCATGTAGCAGAAGCTGCTGTTGCAAATTTTCTTCTAGAAAAGAGTTCAACCATAAAAGGCCCTAAGAAACTGGAGCCTAAGCGATCAGATGCTATCGATAAAAAACTTCAAGGTTAGATTTTTTTTTTAAACTTACGTGTAAGGAGTTTGAAATTGTATTCTGATCTTCATTTATTAATGTGTAGTGCCAACCTCTAAGCATCTCAAAGCACTGTTTCATCTGATATTTTGGCCCTGTGAGATAGACCAAAAACATAGTCTTAGCATATTGAGGTGGTGTTTGTTTGGAATTTCCATTTTCTGAAGGGTAGTTTGATTCAAATTGTTATTTAAGATGATTCTATTGCATGCCACAATTTTTTTGGGAATTTGGCTTGCCTTGTGTTTGGTAATTACAGCTTTACTCTTATGTTATTTATTAAATTTCTTGCTCCTTCAATCTGTCCAATGTCAATGGCTGGATTGAGAAAATATCAATGATTTAAATATACTGTTTGCAGTCCCTGGGTGGAAATCCCCTTTCAGCATATAGATGCCAACCTCAGTGAGAGAAGCCAACCTCAGGTATAATGTAAAATCTGCGAGCAGAAAGTAATACCTGAGATCTGCTCGAGGATTTTACATGCACTTCAGGTTGGCTTTGATTGTATAAGTTATGAAGGGAATGGCAGTGGCCAGATTTCTCTTCATTATGAAAGTGTGATCATCACCATGAGAGTAAAATTTCTAGAGGGGGAAAACTGGCAATACTTTGCATATAATTTCATATGGAAATTGCCTTCTTCTTCGACTTTGTGCAGTCATCAGTCATACCTACCCTTCTGTTTGTCTCTCCCTAATTCTGTCTTTTTCTTTTTATTCTCCTCCCTTTCCTAACTTTAGAATGTTACTTATATTTTTTTGTGGATTTCCATTGGAATAAGTACAACTCATGGTGATCATAATTTTAAATAGCAAATTGTTGAAAAAATAATTATGGTCATTATTGTGAATTGTAATTTACTATAATACTAAAGTAATCATAATGAGATATTTCAAAACTATTACATAATGATTTTTATATAACATAACGATCGTTATTTAAAACTATGATAGTGACTTAATCCTAAAAATGTAACGGGAAAGGAAAAAAATCCTATAAAGCATAAAGCTTTTCCATAACAATATAGTGTTAAATTAGCATGATGGAGTCGTTTTTATTTTTTGGTTTCTCATCGCTCATATCTTTTGTACAATATTAAAAATTTAATAAAATTTAATAATTGTATATTTATTGTTGAGATCTCATTCCATCACTGTGCTTACTATAGCCACCATGCATTTCTTGTAAAAAGTGTATCTAAATTGTTTTTCATCAATCATACACTGTCTTTCATTTTTAGGCTCTTGGAAAGGCAAATTTGCACTCATTGAATTTTTAGCAGCCATGTATTGAGGTTGACTAATTGTCACTTCTGGCCTATTTTTTTTGCTGCATGCAATGTCAATCTAGAGTTAAGGGAGGAATTCTTCATAGGCTCATGCTCCTCTTTGCTTTTACATTTTTTTTTTTTTTACAGTCCTTGTAAGGTGATTTGTATAAGACTTATTTTTACGAAACATTATACATATACTGAAAATGAATATGGTTTTACTGTAGCTAAGCCTATGCTATATTGAAACTAAAACGGCATCATTTTGAGTCTTTCGGACTCAAAACTACGCCGTTTTCTAAAAAAAAAAATAATTTTTTTGTCAATTTATCATTATTTTATACTTTGATCCTCTAATTTATTATTTTATATAAAACAGTCCTTAATTTTTATGAATATTACCAAAAGGTCCCTATCATTCTTTTTTTGGATTGGGTTTTTTTCATTAATTATTATTTAATCAAAATAATTTTTTTCCCATCATCAATGGTTACTTTTTCTATTTTTATAAATATTCATGAACTAAAATTAAATATTCTTCTAATATAAATTAATCAAATACCTCCTTCTAATTAGATTTTTTTTAGCTAGACTATATAATTTGAGAATAAATGGTATTCTTTTATTCATGATATGAAAATCTGATAACAGTGGTCGATATGTATGCTGCAACTCTCAGCTGCTAACCAACAAGCTACAAGAAAATATATAAATGCAAAGGTAAAGCTGTTCCTGCAATTTTATTCAACTTACAAATGACATATGGAATGGTGCTATCTAAAAGAAAATATAATTAACGTCATGTTCATGGCAAACCATCACTGTCCCCTCCATATCCTGACCCATAGCCCTCCCCATAACCTGAACCACTGCCATAGCCAGAACCAGAGCCAGATCCTCCTCCTCCAGCCCTGCCGCTGCCACCGCCACTTCCATGTCCTGACCCGCTTCCACTTCCATAACCTGACCCACTTCCTGACCCAGACCCTCTACCTCCTCCTCCTCCTCCTTCACCTCTTCCACCACCACCACCTCCACTTCCTCCTATTCCACCACCAGACCCATAGCCTGAGCCACTGCCAGACCCATATCCACTACCTGACCCCCTACCACCACCTCCGCCTCCGCCTCCACCTCCACCTCCACCTCCTCCTCCACGGCCGCCACCATATCCCTCTCCACCCCCAGACCCATATCCTGAACCGTTACCAGAGCCTGATCCATGTTCTGATGCTGAAACACCACCACCACCTCCCCTTCCTCCTCCGCCTCCTCCACCACCTCCTTTGCTTATTGCCTTCGGTGACATAGCAGCAAAACTGAGGTCTAGAATAAGTAAGATCAAGAATGCAGCACCTATCGCTCTTGAACTTGCCATTTCCAAACTTCACAAATCAATGTATAGCTAGTCAAGAAATTTGTGCGTTTCTGTTTGTGTCACTCGCTGCTATATGAGAAATCAATGCCTTGTTGACTGAAAATGCTTAAGGTGGTAACCCTATAGATAGGCATTGTAAAGGTGACAAGACACGGTTTTAGATTAAATTTCTAGCTCCTTCTATCACTTAGTAATCTACATGATTATAGAAAAGAACGTGTGTTTTGGGTTTTTGTTAGTGGTGGGTGTTGGTGGTGGCCTGGTGGGGATGACGGTGATGTGGTGTACTGTCTGTGTGTGCCGTCATGCAATTTCTGCATATATAGAATAAAAGCTTTATCTCCACTTTTGACTCGGGTTTCTCTTATAACGTATACAATTTTGGAACTGGGACCAACTGGATGCACTTCCCACTTTGTCATTCTGTTCATATTTAAACTTCGTTTTGAAGGCTTGGAATTTACAGAGACTAGCACATGTTTGGTGATTATGTTAACAATTGTCTCCTGAAGCATAGGTTAATCACCTAATAGTGGTGATTTATGCTCACAGATGTCTGTTTATGCTCTCGTGTGTGTATTTGCACCACAAACTGGGTTTTGCAGTCTTTTTCTATGGCTGTGAGATAATATTACTATTTTTCTTCTCCCATTTTGTAGAACACACGGCATGATCGATTATCAATAGTTTGTACTGACAAAGTGCGTCGGAATGTGGATAAATAATTTTAAACTTCGGTGCCTGCTCCGATACATGAAAATATCATCCTTGCGTCGCTTGCTGCTATTGGAATGTGAAGTCATACATATGCATACATGGTTGATTGTAAAACCTTCTATTCTCGCACGTTTGACTTCTAGTTCCATGCATTTACAGATTAGCATCACTTCCATTGTTGTCATGTCAAGTTTATTTTAATAAGACTCCGTAAATACACTGGTCAAATTTAATGGTCACAGGAGATCTGCATAATCTCTATTATAATGGCTGTGCCTTGCAATACGCATGCATGGCGTTTTTTCCACAATTTTTCTTGAACAACACATGGCATATCAAATCAAATGCCGACAGCCTTGATCAGTGCCTCTTCTATTCATGAGAGCACTATATCTGTCATCAAGTTTCTTAGCTTTCTTCATATGTCGAATTAAAGTAGGAAGAACATCATGTAAGTTTACACTTATCGATCAAGTTCCTGATGACCTGACCCCATATTATACTCTTTAGGATACCCTCAAAATCTCAGGCCACAAACACCACTAACTGATCCACCCAAATTTCCCTGTCCCATTCTCTTCATGGAATGTTAGTGGAGTCTGTCTTCTTTCTTTATACATACGCTTATACTGACAACTGGCACCTCACTTTTTTCTACTTTGCCTGGGATGGACATTTGCATAGCATGCTTGCATTCAATTGTAGCAATCTAGCCATCATATCCTTGACAAAGTAGAAATTGGCTGGTGTCCATTGCTGACTTTAAGCGTGAATGAGCCATTGCTTATAAGCCCAAGTGTTTTTTTTCCGTACACAACTTGATTAGGTGTGATTTAATTTGTTAATTATTATTTTGATCTTATCAACTGACATATTATAGTGGTGTCATATGTTTCTCTTCAATAACAGGTATGGATATTGGATGATATACTCATTCAACCAGAGACTAAGAGATAGGATTTGTTAGATAAAGTTTAGGTGATCGAAGTTTGGACTCTGAAGAATGCCTGAGGAGGAAGTGGAAGGCATCATAATAAGAAGACTGACCATCATTAGTGGTATCCATTATGTGCATGTATGTGTTCTTGATTACTAGGCAATATTCTCCTCGTGGATCTACACTTGATACCATGATTTTAAAACAGATCTTTTCCGAGGACGTAATTTTAAATGGATTGCCAAAGGATTATTGATATGACACAAGGAGGTTTAGCCTAAGGATTGTATATTCTGTTAACTTTACTAGTGAAATCTTTGTAATAACTTATGATAATGATTAGTCTTCTGACTTTGAAGTGTAACAATGATTGTCCAAAAAAAAAAAAAAAAAAGTGAAATGCTGATCTATGAGTAAATTAAATTATAAATCAGTCCTTCTAGTTTTGAAAACTAATTATTTAGTCTTTATATTTTTAAATTTTCTTGTAATTTAATAAATTTTTTCAATTTATTTTGGTTTTTTGTTTTAAAAAATAGAGAAAAAGAGTAAAAAAAATATGGAAAGATTACAGAGAAGAGGTGATATTTTTGAAATAAAATAATATTAATTTAAGCAAGCAAAGGACTAAATAATTAATTTTTGAAACAAATAAAATTAATTAAATGGTTAGTTTTTAAAAGTACAGAAGCATTGGCGATAAAAGATGACATTTGTTAGAATAAGGTAATATTAAATTATACATAGTCAATATCGATGAAAGAATTAAACAATTATTTTTGGAAGAAACAAGAAAGGTTTTAATTAATTCATTTCTAAAAATATAAAAGTAGTAATTTATAATTCACTCTCATCGACTTGCGCTTTGGGTTTAATTCTGAACTGGTAGTGTCAAGATCCTCTAGAAGAATAGAACTTTGTAGCCAGAATCTGATTTCCAACAAAACACATCTGGTTATGGATATGCAAGGTTAGCATAAACATATTCCTTGAATATTTTTAATCTCTAAATAATCTCTTTTTAATCTCTAGATAATCTTTTTCTTCTTACAGCTACCCAGAAGAAATAACATTCAAAAACCATCCACGGGTTTGTGGACGAGAGTTCTACGATTTAAAAGGTTTGTGTGCCCCAAAAACATGACGGGCCGGACTGCTGATTTGTATGGGCTTGCTAGACCAAGTATCAAACCAGCTCAAGGCTCAACAGTACTAAGTCCTATCGTTTAGGACTGCTCTATTAAGGCCGGGCCGAACCATGGCTGGACCAACCATAATAGCTTCTGGGCCTTGACTTCTAAGTTGTATGGAATTGTGTGCTGACATGGCAAGGACGGCAGGTTACCCAAAACAATTGGAACTCATTTTAACTTTCCACTGAGAATTTGGCGCGTGGTTTGTAGGTGTATGATTTAATTATTTATAACTAATATTTTTAGTATTTATTAAATTGAAATGTTTGTTTTTAATTTACAAATTTGATAATAAATAATCGAATATTGTTTTCAGAGTTTGATTTTGATAACGTATATTTAGTAAATATATATCGTTGAAAAATTTTTCAAAGTCTTAATAAAAAAATTATAAATTATTAGATATCCGACGTTAATAATTAAGGTTTAATATTACGATGTATTTTTCTATCATATTCAACAACTATCATTGCTATGCTCGTTATAGATTATTTTCTTGAAAGAAGTCATTTATTCAAATAAAATCTACTTATATTGTATGAATATGGAAAGTGCATTATGTCATAAAAAAGTTTTATTCGGGATTCTACTATTTTTTAGTATGATAACATGGTATAGGAATGTTTTTTTTTTTTTTTTGTTTGAAAGACTTATTTTTAATTATGTATGATATGGATAAAATTATCTAACAATACAGGCATGAATAAAAAGTTCATGAACCTTTACTTCAATAAATATTTATTTTAATTAGCAGAATTTGTCAAAAGAAATAATATAGATTTTGTAAATCATTTTTTCCAAAGAAGTAAAAAATAATATATGACAATAACAAAAAAAATTTCATTTGTCCCCATTAATAATTTGATGAACATGTATTTTTATTATCTTCCGATTTTAATATTATTAGTTTTTTCATGCTTTTTAAAAGCATTTTTAGAGGTTTCATAATAAATATATATATATATAAAAACTAATAATGTATTATATAGACTACGAGTGATTCAAGAAACTTATTTTAAGTGTTTGTTAAACAAAAAAATGATGGAAAATGGGATTAACCTACTTTTATGTTTTAATAATTTTTTTTTTAAAAAAATCATTCAATTTCGCTCTCTTTTTTTTAAAAAAAAAAATTGGAGGTAGGTGGAATTTACATATGGGCTATTATTAAGTTAGCTTTGAATAAATAGTATACTATTCAATCAAAAGTTTTTAATGAATTCATACTTTTATGCATAGTTATAGATTATAAATTATACTCTCTTTTTTAAATAAGTTAAAAAAAATTCTTAGCAATTGTCCTCGTATCCCGAATAGTTATCGAGTCACGGATTTACAATACAACTAAAACAGTTGAGGCTTTTTAATAATAAAATCACCGTTAATTTGAATAGTATCTAGTCTCTTTCTAAAAGATTAAGACAAAATATTTGATTTGCAATAAATAATCAGAATAATTGTGAATAGGTAGTGTGATTTTTTTCCCCCATAAGTATTGATTGTGAACTATAATACAACTAAAACATTTGAGGCTTTTTAACGGTAAAATCACCGTTCATTTGAATAGTATCTAGTCTCTTTTTAAAAGATTAAGACAAAATATTTGATTTGTAATAAAAAATCATAATAATTGTTAATAGGCAGTGTGATTCCCACCAACACCCCCTCCCCCCGCCAAGTATTGATCGTGAACTATATTGTCCTTAACTGACAAAAAGGAAAAAAGTTATAGAAATTCTTAACATGAGTGATTTAGCTGTATAAATTTTTAGGAAGTTTTTAAATTGAATTATGTATTCATGTTTGGTAATTAATTCGTTCGAATAGTCTATTCACGTAAAAGGAATGTTCCATTTCGTCCTTATTTTGAATAAAAATTTGCAAAGAGTTTAAACCCCACACTCAATTAAGATTTTTGAAAAAATTAAGAATTTAATTGAAATAAATGATTTTATAAGGACTTAATTTAGACTGATATATATAGCGTGGGGGGTAAGATTTTGTTCTTCTTTCTTATTTTCCATTTTGCCAGAAATAATGTACCGGTTTTTGTAGTAGACTATAAAAACCCATCAGAGACGACTTCCAGCGTTTGCGGTACCTCTTGTCTACGCACACTGACACACGAACAGCAAGCGATCTCTACGATTGCCGGTGTTCGATTCTTCATTTCATCAGTAGAAGAATCAACACCGTAGAATCCAATCCAATATCTCACATTTTCTCTGATCAGATCCACAAAAATTCTCGACCTGATCTACCAACGCCCGTGATTTCCTCGTCAATTTCAATCCAATTCAGGAACATTTCATTTCTGCTGCCTTTCTTAATCCTAGATCTGCTGCCTTTTTTCCCCCTTTAATCTGTGTGGGTTATCAACGTTAAGTCACTTAATTAAACTGATGGATTTAAATGTTTTAAGGTTTTAGAACTGATGAATTTTAGTCATCTTAAACAGATTGCTATGGGAACAGAGGAGTTTAAGAAGGAAATGGACTTGGCCAATTGGTTTTCGCAATTGGCTTATGACCAGTGGGCCCCAATCCCTGTCTCCGGTGCACGACCTTCAGCTCGGTACAAGGTGATGTTTGTTACAATTACTGAAAATTTAGTAATTAATTATTTTATTGTAGTTATTTCGATAAATAAATGATGATTTTTTTAATGAAAATGTGGCTCTGTGTTGGCATTTTTTAGCATGCTGCAGAAGTTGCGGACGAGAAATTGTATATTGGTGGCGGGAGTCGTACTGGTCGGTATCTACCTGATGTTCAGGTATATGACATTCCCAATTGTGTGTTTGTTGTGTTAAGTCGATGCGGGTTCTGTGTTTATGTGATCTTGGATTGGATGTTTATGCAGGTTTTTGATTTTAGAGGTTTGGTGTGGTCTAGTTTAAAACTCAAAAGTGAAGTAGATGGTGGAAAAGGTGAACCGAATGGGGCATGGGAAGCTCTTCCGGCCATTTCAGATCATAGTATGGTAAGACTTTGTATGCATTAGTGTATTGTTTCAAAATGATTTGTGATGTGTTCAGACGGTCTGTTGATTATTTTGTCAGGTTAAGTGGGGGAACAAGCTTCTTCTTCTTGGTGGGCATTCTAAGGCGACTTCTGATAGTATGATAGGTTTGTTTCTTTTCAATCTTTTTTAAGAGATGGTTAGGTGTTTTCCTAAATTAGTTGGTGATACTTGTAAATGTCTTTTGAGAAGAATCTTTTGCTCTGGCCTTGATTTTTTGTAGTGAGGTTCATTGATCTAGAGACACACGCATGTGGTGTTGTCGAGACTTCAGGAAAAGCTCCGGTAACTGGCTTTATTAAGGCTAATTTTTTTTTTATATCGGTCCCTGTGCTTGCCTTTCCGACTTCTGATTTGTTTTTATGTTGCTATGTACTTTACAAGGAGTCAAAAAAATCAGTTTTGTTTCTGGATATTTGGTTTGTAATTTCTGGAGTGTATTTCAGGTAGCCCGAGGGGGACATTCTGTTACACTGGTTGGTTCTAGACTGATAATTTTTGGCGGAGAAGATAGGAACAGGAGATTGCTGAATGATGTGTATGCCCTTGACTTGGAAACAATGGCTTGGAATGTAGTAGCGACAAAGTAAGTGTCTGTTCAACGTTCAGATCCAGCTGCTTGCAACTTTTCAAAACTCTTCTTCATCATTTTCTTGTGTCTTGATAGGCTGGCACCTCCAGCTCCCAGATTTGATCACACAGCTGCAATAAATGGGGAACACTACCTTCTAATCTTTGGTGGTTGTTCTCATTCAATCTTCTTCAATGATCTTCATTTACTCGACTTACAGACTGTGAGTGTTGCCATTTATTTATTTTTTGAGCAGAGAGGCGGGTGTGGGATGTGGGGTTTGATTAAATTGACTTGTATAATGTGAAGTAAATGTTATCGTGTTTAATTTCTTTATTGAGAAATGAATTACTAAAAGCACAGAGCATATGATTTAGTTTGTGCTGAGAAGCAGATTGCAAAGGCATCAGAATAAGATATAGCATGCCGTTGCATTTTATAAATGATAATATTTCTTGATGAAATGATTCGTTCATGAGACACTAATAAACAAAAGAGGCATGCCATGGCTCGCCTATTCAGTGATTGTATTCCAGTGGTTGCTTATGGACTAACCAAGACATACTTATTTTGCATTTTATTGCATGATTTTTTTTTATGTACCAAGGGAAGTATTTTGACTGAGCAGCAGTCACTGCTCTGATATATCAATATTTAGAATATATATAGACAGATTCTGTATTCCTCAGATTTCTATACATCCAGACATCTTGCTCTTTTTAACAATGACAAGGTCTTCCTTTATTGTAGATGGAGTGGTCCCAGCCTGAAGTTCGAGGTGATTTGGTGACTCCTAGGGCTGGTCATGCTGGTGTAACCATCGGTGAGAACTGGTATATTGTTGGTGGTGGAGATAACAAAAATGGTATGCAGTAACTTTTCTTTGTTTAATTGCATTTCATTGGATGTTCTTACCACTATTCTCTAAAAATGGTACCTTCAATTGGTGATGACTTACAGGCTGCCCAGAAACCCTTGTGTTAAATATGTCTAAGCTAGCCTGGTCAGCATTGACAAGTGTAAAGGAAAGAGATCCACTTGCTAGCGAGGTCAGTACTTTGTGCCTTTCTCAAGTTTTACTCTCTAATTTTAGCTATCTATTTTATTTAGGAAATTTTTTGGACCAGAAGCAGCCAATTGTTAGTACATCTTCATTTTTTGGAAAAGGTGGATTATGGATGGCAATTACATTGGTCAAAGATTAAAAATTTGAAAAGGACCGAAAACTATCAAAATCAATTTGAAAACATGGGGCATATCATTCTGGATCTCATTTAGCTAATATGGCTGTAAGCTACCATCATTTGAAGAAGAAGAAGAAGAAGAAGAAGAAGAAGAAGAAACTCCCAGTTTCAGACGTTAATTCACCACCTGATTGTAGGTTTTAGACTATAGAATGATCCTTTTATGTAATTCATGCTTGCACATTTGATTTTGATGGAAATTTTAACTTGTGTAGAAAGTTCATAGTTGTGGAAATGCAAAAAAATTGGTGGATTATGATAAAAATGGTCGCTAAACTCGTATGTTTATAATGTGCCCAAGTCTCTAAAAAAGCTTAGTCAATTTTAATGGCTTGTTCTAGTTGAGTTGTGACTGAATTGACGTAGGAGTTACTTCTATGCTTGCAAAATTTCTAACTATAATTTCAAAAGCAGGGACTTAGTGTTTGCTCAGCATTAATCAACGGAGACCTGCATTTGGTTGCCTTTGGTGGCTATAATGGGAAATACAATAACGAGGTATGTGCTATGGTAACATTTGCACTGGTTATAGCATCTATATACACCATCTTTCTTATTTTAACCTGATTTCCTATTTGCTTTCCTTGATTGGCCTCTATTTTCTAGGTTTTCGTTATGAGACTCAAATCAAGAGATGCATCGCGTCCGAAGATTTTTCAGTCACCAGCAGCAGCTGCAGCTGCAGCTTCTGTTACTGCTGCATACGCTTTAGCCAAATCTGAAAAGTTAGATTTCTCCAACTTAAATCTGAACTCTAATGGAGCTGGAAACAGTCCTTCTGAACAAGATTTAGCATTTGAAATTGATGCACTTAAAGAAGAGAAAAAGGTGCTGGGATTGTCCCTCGCAGAAGTCAGAGCAGAGAATTCTAGGCTTACAGAAAAGGTTGATGAAGTTAATGGTACCCATGCAGAACTGTCCAAGGTATGTTCTTGATGATTCTTTTCTTGTACAAGGGAACACATTCATTCATAAAATGGTAATAAATAGTTTTAATATCATTCTCTCAGTTTTCTTTTCTTTTCTTTTCTTTTTTGCAGGAACTCCATTCTGTCCAAGGTCAACTAGTTGCTGAGAGATCAAGATGCTTTAAACTCGAGGTGCTCCTCTCTCTCACATCTTGTTCTTGCTATCCTTCATTTTTCCTTTCACCCTTTGCGAACCTCTATATCTGTCTTTTGGTGATCTGACTGGTTGATTATGTGGACCTTGATTTCCCGTTTTCTAAATTCGGTTTACTTTGGTTGATTGGGATTTGCAGGCACAAATTGCTGAGGTACAGAAGATGCTGGAATCGTTGCAGTCCATAGAGAACGAAGTACAACTACTTCGAAGACAGAAATCTGCACTCGAGCAGGAGATAGAGCGTAATGCAGCGCAAAAACAAGGTTCTGGTGGTGTCTGGCGCTGGATAGCTGGCTAAACTGGCAAATCATAAAACTTTTCAAGGCCAATGTCTCAAAATTGTGCCAAAATTTTGGCAGCTATAGCCATCTCAAGCTAATAGGAATGCTATGATCTTACGCTGCAGCTTTTGTGTACCTGGCCAATGGGTGCTTGCAACTTTGCTATCCCCGGCCATTGTTAGAGTTTACTTGGGAGGTTTAAGTTATAAACGGGTACAAGGTGTAGTCTGTGCAGTCGCTATTTTCTCTCTCTCTGTGAAATGGGTAATTGCTTGATTTTTTTTTCCTTCCCCATTCATGACTGATTTTATTTGTTTATGTACAATTGAATTATTCTCTCCTAGCACGTTATAAATTTCATTGGATATCATATAATAAAAATATTATTATTATTATTATTTCATGGAGAACAATCTAATATATTTCATCGGAAGGGAACAGACGATTCTTGTGATGCATATCTGAAACCAACGATTTTCTTTGTGTCCCTTTCCGATGGCAAGCAGTTCCTTACAAATTTGCAGTTCATGGCTTACTGCATGCCTTTTCTTTTGCAGGTTGATGGTGTTAGAGGCTCTCCATAAAGCACTTAAAATTCAGCAAAATTTCATCCAACTGCATCTATTTCCTTCTAGATCTGAGGTTTTGTTTGAGAATCATAAGTAATCTCCATATTGGAGGATCTTATGTTTTGCAGTAAATTTTCCTCCTCCATGAGGGGTGTGGATATGATATTTAAAGATTAAATGATCTAAATTTCATTTGAATTTTAAGTTATTTGAAAATTAAGAAAATCAATCTCTTAATTTTTAATAGCTAAAGACTAATTTTTTTGTTCACGTTACGTTGCAGGTTGGAAAAAATATATAAAATGGTTTAGAAAAATCATTTTAGTTTGATAATCTGTGTTATGGTGTGAATCTATAAAAATATATGAAATCAAAGGTATAAAAAATTATTTAATCAAAAATTTTATATTTAACTATTTTGTATTTGTGTTTTTCATAATTTTTCCTTTAGAAAAAGGATTCATCCTTATTAATCCATGGATTATCAACTAAAAAAAAAATTGTATCAAAAAACATAAATAACAATTATTAAAAGCTTACATAGAATTGAATAAATAAATTTTTTTATTTAATATTGATGAGAATATCGGTTTTTGAAAAAATGTGAATTTAATTTTTGTATATTTATTTACAAAAGAATAAATAATATTAAAATAAAAAACTATATTAATTTAAATCATTGAGTGATTAAGGCAAAACATTATTTTAATTATTTAATTTAAAATAAGTTAATTTTAAAATATTCAAAAACAAATATATAAATAGAAAATGCTTAGTGTAGTAGTAGTTGCACGGTTGATTTCTAAAAAAAATAACAATTCAATATTTTTTTATACATCCTAATTATACTAAGCGAGTTTAGATTTTTCAGTCTAAAACAAAAAATGCTATAAAAAGTTAACTTGCAAGGAATATATTGATCAAATTTGAAGTTAATAGACTAAAATAAAAATTATTACAAATTTGATTTCGAATAATTTTGATTATATAAAGAAGAAACAATTAATAAAACATGTGAATTCTTTTTCTTTTTTTTCCCCTCTTTCTTAAATATTTTTTTTATTTCTATGTTGTGGATGGCTAGTTTCCGAATATAGGCCTCACGCACGGAGCAACCATCTTTTTTTTTTTTTTTCACATTTAACTTTCAACTATTGATTAATTAATTTGAGTTTTTTTCTAAAAAAATGATAAAAAAACAAAGAAAAAATTATTTGAAATACACTTTTAATCTAAAAATGTACTTTAGATAAATTATATATATTAATCATGCCACTATAATTTAAAAGTTATCTAAATCTATTTTTCAAAAGAAAAACTAATCATATTCTAAAAATTTATTTCAAAATCCATACATATAAAAAAATAAATCAAAACTATAAGTAAATATAATTTTAAATTAATTGGCCGATATTTTTTTTAAAAATAACAAATTAAAGTAGTAAATTTTAAATAATAAAAATAATTAACAAAAAACACTAAAACAAAATAGGACGAAATTACAATATAATCAAAGTTTGAAATTGAAAAAAAAGAAGAGAATTTAAAAAAATAAAAAATTAATGTAGTAAATTATAATAGAAAAAAACCGAGAAAAAATTATTTGAAATGCACTTTTAATCTAAAAATGTATTTTAGACAAAAAATATATATTAATCATGCCACTATAATTTAAAAATGATCTAAATCTATTTTTCAAAAGAAAAAATAATCACGTTCTAAAAAATTATTACAAAATCCATACATATAGAAAAATAAATCATAACTATCAATAAATATAATTTTAAATTAATTGAATCAAAATTTTTTAAAAAAATGACAAATTAAAATAGTAAATTTTAAATAAATAAAAATAATTAACAAAAAACACTAAGATAAAATGGGATCAAATCACAATATAATGAAAGTTTGAAATTAAAAAAAAAAAAGAGAATTTAAAAAAAATGAAAAATTAAAGTAGTAAATTTTAAATAATAAAAATAATTAACAGAAAACACTAAAACAAAATGGGATCAAATCATAATACAATTAAAATTTGAAATTACAAATTTTTTTTTATAGCAAATTTGAGTACCAAAATGTTAAAAGAATGATATAAATAGTGAAAGAAATAATGATTTGTGAGTGTATAAATAATGATTTGAGTGTGTGAATAGTGTTTCAAATAATGAAATGAATAGTAAAACTATGTTTTACTTTAGTTGTTTTATAATGCGCTAAAACTTCTGAATACTTTGTTTTTTTTCTAAAAATTTATTTTTTTCCTTCTAAAAAAACAATTTTTGAAAGAAAAATTAAAACACTTATAAGTTTTGATTTTTTTTTTAGACGTTGAAGAATTGTGCATAAATTTTAAAATTGAAAAAACCAAGCAAAAAGATTCAATTTCAAATGAAAAAAGTCCAATTCGAATTGAAAATTAAAAAACCGATCCTCAAATGACTTCAAATTAATGAGAGGTTTAGAGCGTTTAACCATCTTTAAATTATAAATTCTAATTTGCCAATAAAACTATAAAAGAAGATGATCGCAGGTTTTGAAAACATTTTATTTCATCTTCAGATATCATAACGTTATCATACATAGGTATCCAATATTCCAATTATCCTGAAATCACATTACAGAGCCGGAGAAAAATTGGAAAATCAAGTTTCAAGAGCCATTTTCTTCTATTGATCTTTTATCCGAGGCGTTTATGCTTTGTCTTCCGAGTCCTTCCCGATTAAGAGTTTTACACCATATCGATATTAAATAGGCAGCCAGCACATTTATGGAGAGGATATATGTTCTTCCATTTCCTGACCCAGTAGCAAGTTAAAAGTGGAGGGAAGTTACAATTTTGAGATAACTTGTTGGCTGTGGGAAACAAGCTCCTTCCTCAAGATTTTGCCTGCAGCAGACTTAGGAATGGTGCTGATGAAACCCACTTTTCTTACTTTCTTGTATGGGGCAACCTAAGATTTCATATAAAAAGATCAGAAGAGTGCAATCCTAGAGTCTACTTGAAGTAAAGAAGGGAAAAGGCTATCAAATCAACCTGATTAGCAACAAATTGAATGACTTGTTCTTCAGTGAGTTCAGAACCAGGTGCTCTCACCACATATGCCATTGGTATCTGTCCAGCTTCATCATCTTCAACACTGCAAAATATGTGTTAATATATAAAGATAGATCATAGAGAAGGGCACGAGAGAGAGAGAGAGAGAGAGAGATGTGAAAAAGACTACTCACGGTATAACTGCAGCATCAAGTACTTGGGGATGACCAAGAAGAATAGCTTCCAATTCCGCCGGAGCCACCTGCATATAGCAACAGAGTGTTTTGATTAAAAGAATCCGCCAATTTTTTCAAAGAAAGGAGGTTAGGTTTGGATTGGTCGAAGAGCTAAGCTTTTTGCCAAAACACGATGAATGGAATTGGTGAAAAGGTAGCCTGAAATACCTGATACCCATTATGCTTGATCAGCTCCTTTATCCGATCAACAATATGAAGAAATCCATCTGCATCAAAATAACCCATGTCACCAGTTTTTAGCCAACCTTCAGGATCAAGTGTTGCTGCCGTAGCAGCCTCATTTCCCAAGTACCCTTTCATTATAGCAGCACTCTTTATCCACAGCTCTCCTTCTCTACCAGGTGGCAAAGCTGATCCAGTTTCAATGTCTACAATCTTAGCACTGAAAGTGGGCACTAGCCGTCCGCAAGAAGCTGGATGTGTCTTAGCCTGCTCATCAGAGACGAAAAAGGTTGCTGCACCACAGCTTTCTGTTAGCCCATATCCTTGCCTTAGCTCTACCCACGGGAACCTCTGCCTAAACCCATCAGACAGTTCCTTACTCAAAGGGGCAGCCCCAGATCCCACCCTTCTTAAAGATGACAAGTCACAATTAACTTTGCTAGCACGTTTCACTAGCCCAAGTATCACTGGAGGCACTGCAGGTATGTTGTTAATTTTGTAAGTTTGAACAGCATCAAGCATTGCTTGAAAATCATATCTTTGCATTACCACAGTCGTAATTCCTGCACAGAATAGTCCCAACCCGAAAAACGCGAGGCCGTAGATGTGAAATATTGGGATGAAGCACAAGAATATGTCATTGTGCGATGAAGTTGCATAGACTGACCATTTGAGGAGTGTCATGATGGCTATAAAGTTTGAATGTGTTAATATCACACCTTTGCTTGTGCCAGTAGTACCTGAAGAGTAGAGTATAGCTGCAGTGTCTGATTGATTTATCCTGACCTGTGGTAACTCAAGCGGATCACTACATTCAATTAGTTCTTCGACAGATAACGAATCGTCATTCGATTGACGACTTGTAACCAGCACAGGCACTCCATTTTCTACCAGCTTCTGCAACTCCTCTGGTGCTGAAATGACAAGTTTAGCACCCGAGTCCCGTATTTGTTTAGAAATTTCTGATTTTGTGTTTACTGGGTTGGCAGGACTCAGGATTGCTCCAATGGAAAATATAGCTAGACATATTGTCGGGTACAAGACTGAGTTTGGTGACAGAAGAAACACCACATCACCTTTTCGGACTCCAAGACCGTTGTACAAGCCTGATGCAAGGGCACGGATGGATCGATGGAGCTGTGCGTAAGTGACTTGGTGGTTGGTGGCCAAATCAATAAGGGCAACTTTAGCCTCAGCATGATCAGGATGGGGGAACTGGGATAGCAGATAATTGGCAGTGTCTAGGTCAGGTCTTGTGGGGATCTGGAAATTCTCTCCAAGTTGATGCAATGAGTGATAAATTCCGGTTTGCGGATCGAAACCAGTCTTGGATTGAGCATCACCAGTTTCCCCCATGGTGATGACAGTAGTCGTCCACGATTCTTCAGCAGACATTTTGAAGAAATTTGCTATGCTATTGAAAGTGTCCTTGGACTGAACTCTGTTGCATAATGACGTCTATATAAGCAACATTGGTAAATACAACGATGATGGACGTATTAGCCGGCAAGAACGATAAAATTAAAGTAGCATGGTATCTTGAAATTCGAACATTCATGTTTGATACCTTTATATGGTAAAATTAATTATGATGCACGTGATACATGTATATAAAATGTAAAATAAATTGTGAATTATAATAAATTATATTTAAAATGTATTTAATTAATTAAAATATATGATACTCTGTCTATTTTAAAATGATAATCCTCTTTGATTTTTCATATAATTTAAGAAACTTATTAATTAAAATACAATATCAGCATTTTTTAAAAAAGTTTTTTTTTAAATACCCTTTTGTGTTTGAAGAACAAATCGATCCAATTTAACCTTACATTACAAAATAAGGATAATTTAGAAAAATAAAATATTAAAAACTTTGACCAAACAAATATTTTGAGATAGATATCAACAGAAAGAAGAGCAATTTTTTTTTTTTTTGAAAGAGAGAGAACATTAATTATGATACATGTTTACGTCTTGATGGAAAAATTATTTTAAGATTAAAAAAAAAGAGAGAGAGAGTCTGATCCGTATTTTTTGTTTCAAAAAATAAAAAAATAACACCAACTAAAGAAAGTTAAAAGTTATCAATTTTCACTATTAAAAAAGGAATCAATTGAAAGAAATCACTCTTTATCCATCTACTTCTCAATATTGATTGAAAGGTCTAAATATGAATAGATATGTGTTTTTTTTTAAAAAAAAAAAAAAATCATCATTCTGCATTTCTGCTTCTCAATGTTGATTCAAATTTCTAAATATGAATAAAAATATATTTTATTTTTAAAATTATATAAAAAAACATATAAAATTTTAAAATTTATAGATATGATAAATTTATATTTTATTGTTCTGCATTATTACAATTTTATTATTTCATGTGGTAATAAACCAAAGTTTAGGAACTCGTGTTTTTTCATTTAAAATTATAGTTTTTTTTTCTTATTTGTGAATTTAAAATTCAAATTATGAATTTTGTTGTAAGTAATTTTGATTGATATTTTTATTATATTTTGAATGAATCAATTATTGTATTTGCAATTTAAAAAATTTATATCAAGAATGATTTGTTAGTCACTATAGTGGCCACATGTTAGTGTGAATAAATTTTAGATTATAAATTATTTTTAATTATTCATAAACTCTGTAGTTTTTTTTTTTAATGACATTAAGTTATGTAATTATATTTGTTTGTGGATAAAAATTAAAGTTCGTTCATATAAAACATTTCGAAATCAGCTTAAAAGTTAATTAATTGTTCTTATAATAGTGGTGATCGGTATATTCTATTGGTTTTGCTTTGTATATCCGGATAACAAAATAAATCTATTTAAATACATGCATTATTATCTATCATTGTTTATGTTAGTATATTTTAGTGTTATCTAAAAAGGAAATTTGATTTACCTTATGAATCAAAGTATATTTTCATTTTAAATTAATATGAAAAGTATGATGTTTTAAATTTTATGGATACAAAAAATTCATTTTTATTGTTTCATTCTTTCCTCCTCGTACTGCTGACAAAAGAGACATGGAATGATGTGTCTTTATCATATGCCATGACACTTTGTTTTACTCGTGAAGATTTAGATACTCCTGCCGCCCAGTACATGCGCAAGTTAGCTTTGATGAAAATAACAAGACAAGACTTGTAGATATTTGTAAGATCACTGATCAGTATCACAAAACCCTATGGCTGTTGACCAGGTCTTGAAATTATTGTCCTCTTAATTTCCCAAGTTGGGGTTTTGACTTTTGAGGACCCAACAAAAGGAAATGTCAAGGCTTTGAGCGTATTACCATAATTTTTCACCATTTCTCAATCAGCGTAAGAGGTACCTAAACGGTGTAGAGACCACCTTGGAATGACCCTTTAGTCTGCATAGATAGTCCTTGGATCTTTAAAATTGTTTACAAAAATCTAGCTAGTTGTCATTTTCGTTGTTCGCAACCATTTCATCACAAAAGGAAATTGTTTAAGAAGATGATGTTTGAGTTTTGAATGCTTGTTGTTGGATAACTTTGCACATATAATGCTGTGCCTTTTTTTTTTTTCTCATGCTAATAGCTCTTATTTTAATAGTCAAATCTTCAGAATTTCAGAATTTATGTGATCCATCACATTTTGGAGACAGAAGATGAATTTGAAAAAATGAGATTTCAAAATTTTATTAATTTATCGAATAGAATAATGTGAGGAACTGATGGAATTGTAGGTGAAGCTGTTTTGTTATGATTTTCGAACTGATTTCTCTTTGGTATGTTGTGGTATCTGATTATTGAAAGGCATGTCGTTCGATTATTTATTTTGATTTCAAAATATTTTGGATAGTTTTCGATTAATCGATTTTTAAAAAAAAAACATCAAAAACGAATAGAAACGTTAGGTATTGTTGGGCTAGGGATTGAGGTTTAAATTGGTTGAATTTGGGCCGCCTGTAAGGTAACAGAACATGGAGCCCCCGGAGTTAGTCCTCAGACGAACCCGTGGCTTCTGCACCTCAATGGATTGATTCAAAACCTCGTCAAGAGACTTGGGCTGTGGCTCTGCAACCTTGTCCACAGTTTGAACCCATGACTTGAACAGACTAATAGACTATGCCATCTTTCAAACACTCTCGAAGTTGGGCTTCAATTCCATTATTGTAGAACATGGAGTTTTGTAGAAACAAACTTTTTTATTTTCTATAAATTAGCTATTGAGAAAGTTTTGGCTTGCCTCTGGGCAGACAAAAGTCATTCTATAGACCTTTTATAAAGATAGTAAAAGATAAGATCAGTCATAGACATTAAGTTATGCTACAACCATACCACACTAACCAAAATTACCTAATAAACCAAAAGAACATAGTTTCACCTTGAGCCTGTGACTTATCTGCCCAAAAAAAGTTGGTCCAACTTCCTTTCTTCTTCTTCTTTTTGCTAGCGAGAGAATGTTGATCCAAAGCAACAAGATAGGAAGATAAAAATAGAAAAACTCATCATCATATGACTAGAACACCCTGTAATTACTCAGAGATAATAACCTTTACCATAGCATGAAAGCAACACAAGTTAATTTGGATGGTCCGTGGAAGAGGTTTCTCGTGAGGTTTGGTCATGAGCTGTTGGAATGATGGATGTTTGCGTACTCTAACGCATTAAAAATAGCAAGTTAAAACTAGCTATCAAGTAACATTAACTGGATTCTCTCAACAAAACCTCGTAAGAATTTCCATCAACGAGCTGTATAACCATAAAACAATGCCTATAAAACCCCACCATATCTTTTCCAAAACTTCACCCACAACTACGAATTTCTCTATTTCTTTTCCAATGGAAACGAAGAAGAAACATTTTGCTCTTCTACTGTTATTTTCCCTCGTTGCTATTTCCACAGGTTAATAGCACGATTCATGCATGAAGTTGTTTTTCTTCTTTCGATATTTTTCTTATGTATTCCTGCCTGCTAGTCTTTGATTGTTCAACATGGAAATAAATCTTACATATTTATGAATTGCAGGACATGATGACAACAAAAGAACAAAGCTTTTTGTCTTTGGAGACTCATTTGTAGACACAGGAAATTTAGGTTTTAAGTCTTCTGATGGTGAAATCTTGACGGATTATATAGGTGCTTAATTTCATTTATGTGCTAATTAACCTTAACTTTCTATTACAGTCTCCATGTTTATTCATCTATTGTTTTTTTCTTCTTTTTTTTGAAACATGCAGCCTCGTTTTTCAGCATAAAAACTCCAGTAAATTATGCACAGAAGGAGGAGGTATCAAAATCTGAACTACGGGGCGGAATGAACTTTGCATTTGCAGGGAGTGGTGTTCTCGATGTGTCATTTAGTCCCTTCCCACTGAAAATGCAAGTGGATAAATTTAGGGAACAAATTGAACAAAACGTGTATACCAAAATTGATCTTGAAAATTCAGTTGCTCTGGTGTCTTACACTGGCAATGATTATATGTACAAAACTAAGAAAGGTGGTGGCACCTTGAAGGTGAGTGCTTGACTTTTCTTCTTCTTCTTCTTTTTAATGAAAATGCAAGTTTCTTCTTTTAAATTTTATTTAGCAACTAATCTTTGCTCATGTGAATCTAAACATAATTTACGATAAATAAATCAATATGTCTTTTTATATGTCTTTTGATTTTTAATTGCATCTTACTTGTTTTTGAAATTTTTTAAAATATTCAATCTATCATTTCTATTAATTTTCCCGACAATGTAATATTTTTTTGACCGAAATGCTCTTAATTAAAATGTAAAAAAAAATAAAATTTTAAAGACTTAAAAAATAAAATATGTTGTTCAAGTGACTTTAACTGTTTTTTTTTTTTTTAAATTTCAGTAGACGGTATTTCAAACAAAAAATTTATCAATTTTGAAAAAATTAATCAAAATAACATATTGAATATTTTAAAAAATTTCAGAAACACATGAAACGTAATAAAAAAGCTAATGACATAAAAACAATTTAGAATATTATATAAAGACAAATTGAGTTATTTACACTATAATTAATTCGGTTCTTTATATATATTCCTTTTCTCAAATATGTTGCATTTCTTGTTTGGATAACAGGATGTGTTCGATCTAACTAAAACAGTTGTTGATCTGCTTACCAAGAACCTAAGAGAAATTCGTGATTTGGGAGTGCAAAAAATAGCAATATTTGGAACACCCCCTAGAGGATGCTTTCCAGATTACTATATTGAATTGCTTCAAAGCTGCGATGAAACTTGGAACGAAGCATCGAGATGGCACAACAAGTTACTGGAAGAATCATTGCAAGATTTGAACAAGGAGAGCAATGGATCCAAATTTGTATATTTGGATCTTTACAATGCCTTCATTTCAGCATTGTTTAACAAAAATAAAGGTGATATATATATATTTGGAAACAATAGAGTATTTTCAGGTTAACCTTGCATTTATCGAACTTAAATTCACAGTTTTCTAAACTAATATATCCTTCATGTTGTAGGAACTACGGGATATGAGGATCGATTCAAGGCATGCTGCCAGGGTGGTCCCATGGAGTGTTTCTCATTCGCTCTGGCTAAGAAAAAATGCGACCATCCTGAATTGTCAATCTTTTGGGATGGTGCACATCCTTCACAGTATGGTGCAAGTATTATTTATTCATATCTACAACCATCTCTCAGCCAACTCCTTTAGGTATGCAACTTGAATCTAAGATATGCTTTCCAAATTAAATTCAATTAATTTCTCACCAAAACTTTGCATTTTTCTTTGTTTTGCTCAAGTGCTTCCTCTTGTATGTATGCTATTATTTTTGGACTCATTCTTACAATTTTTATTTGAATGTGTTTGTTTAGGTTGCTAATAACCCTGAAATCAAATGGAGTCTCATCAATACAACATCATGGACCATCACTATGTTCATTATCAAGATTTATTTTTAACTATTTGCTATGTAACTATTATTGTATGGATGTTATTATTAAAATTGTAAGAAATACTTAAACCATTAATATTCTGATCAATTAAATTTTCACTGAAAAAAATCTTCATTTTCACGAAGAATTGGAAGATTGTGAATTCAGAATTGGGTTGTTATTATAGATCATCTAGTTTCAAAAAACTTATATTGAATACCAGTGTAATCGTCTTGTTGCTATTACTGAAAACGAATTCTTTTGCTATTTAAAATAGAAGGAAAAGTCTTTGTTTTTGGAAATTAAGAAGTAGTTTTTGTTTTTATTCAGTTCAATTTTTGTGTTATTATTGTATGCTCCTCTAAAAACTTCTCATTCATCTCATGGGTGAAGGCATTCATAAAATAACAAAATAATAATAAGAAGAAGAAGAAGTCGAAATTTCTTCCCGGATTAAAAATAAAATAAAATAACCGGTGTACGTGGACTGTGAATTCGAGCGCATTACTTATGGGTCTGTGAATTGACCTAGTCCAAAAAAAGCTAGCCCAGTTCATTTTGGGTCTACGAATTGACCTAGTCCAAGAAAACTAGCCCAGTTCATTTTGAAGAGAATGTTGGTCCAGAAAAGTTAACAAAACAACAAAGAGGAAAATTGAAAACTTTCCTCTCGTGTCCTGCCAATGCCACTGGTAACAAAACTTCTATCTAAGCAAAAGAAAATTGAAGACTGGCAAAAAAAGGTTTAATCGTAAATGGATAAAAATTTATAGCAAGAAAAATGTTTTTTCTATTCATCATGTTTTAACAATTTTTCTTTTGATTCTTAAGGGGTTAGGATTGGATAGTAAATAAACTTGTCTTTCATATTATTATTTTAGATCCAAATCCAATGAAATAATATGAAAAATAAATTTTACGGTTTATAAAAAATAAGGATAATTATCAGAAAAACTCTTTAAAAAAATCTTATATCTAAGTAACCCATCAATTTATTTTTCAATCTCTCAAACCCCAAATAGTATTTTTCTTATAAAAACACTCAATAGTTAACCTCTAACTTAACACAAGTTAACTATTGGGTCTTTTGATAAGATAATTTTTTTATTTTTAGGTATGAAAGGTTTAAAAAATAAATTGATGGATTTTTTAAATAGAAAATTTTTAAACACTAACATTTGAATTTTTTTTTTATTATACTAAAAAATTCCTTATATTAGATTTTTTTTTTTCTATCGACCGCCTGTTTCAAGATTAATTTTACTATCTAGTAACTATAATAATTGATGCAATTTAACTAATTAACATTGACGAAATGAGACTCTTGTTATTCTCTTGTAATTTAATCAAAAGGTTATCATACAAATAAGAAAAATAAAAATATGCATGATTATGAACATTAGTGATTTCCTAAATCCTAATATATTGATAGGAAAAAAAATCATCGATGATACTAGTTTTTAATTAATCAAAACACAACATTTTTTTATCAAACAATTCAATTAAATTACAAGATGAATGTATAATATATTTTGGTGCATTAATTAAATAAAACATGATCATCCCAAACAGATACATATTTTGAAAGATAATGATTTCATTTAAACTAGGATAATTATCAAAATATCTTCTAAAAAATCTTCTATCTAAAAAATTTACTATTTTATTTTTAAATCTCCCAAACACAAAATAATATTTTTAGATCTCACAAGCCTAAAACAATATTTTTCTTACTAAAACAACCAATAGTTAACACTAGTGTTAATTATTGGATGTTTTTAATAAGAAAAATATTATTTTGGCTTTAGAAGATTTAAAAATAAATTTGTAGGTTTTTTAGATATAAGATTTGTTTATAAGGTTTTTATGGTGATCATTCCTAAAAAATAATACGACACTTACAAATAACATTCATTATTCTGTATTTTATTAACTACGTATAACATCCATTAAAAAGTTGATTTCTATAGCCAAAAGATTTACTATCGTTTTTACCTTATTTTCACCAACAGCATACTTGATAAAAATGAAAAAAAAAAAAGAAGAGGAAATTATAAACTAATTCCTCTTGTTTAGAGAAACAAATTAATTAATCTTTTTTTTTTTCAAAAACTTATCATTTAATCTCTTGTGTTTTAATTTTAGCAATAATTTAGTCAATTCATCTGTTTTTTTTTTTTTTTTGTTAAATTAGTGATTTTTTTTAAATTATCTTTTTTTTTTTAGTTGAGGAGATAAATAAGCATCAAATAAGGTAATATGAAAAAAAAAACCATTAATCTAATAAAAAACTGATAGAATAATTAAGTTATCAATACAGTTAAAACATTAAAAAAAAAACAAAACAAATTTTTTAAAACAAATAAGATTAATTCATTTATTTCTCAAAACTAAAGGATTAATTTATAATTTACTAAAAAAAATTGGAGCCAAACCTATAGATGCTGGTGAGTTTGCTAATTCTGACATGGTAGAATCCAAGCAGCAGCAGACATGCCAAATGGATTACCCTAACAAAAGTCCATGATTATTATCAAAAAGTAGATTTCATGGATTACATTATATAGCCAAGTGTCATATGCATGGCCTTATACCACTCTCTCTTCACTTCAAATGCTCATCACCTCTCCTCCTCTCCCTTTCCTTTCCTACCTTTTTCTTGATTTCTTCTTCACTTCTTTACCCCCCAACCACAGCCTTTAATTTAAAACCCTTCTCCCTCTGTCTTTATCTATACCAATCCTTCTGAGTTCTCTCTCGAAAACCCTTCAAACTTCTTCTCTTCTCTGCTACCATGGCTGTGGCAGAGCTAACCACATCCCCTGCTGCTGCTACATATACAAAGACAAGCAGTCGTTTACACTCTTCACAGCTCTCCCTCTCATCAACCCGTCTCTCTGTTCACTTTCGTCGCTCGTTTAGACCAACCCCTCGTTCCCAAAACTTCAAAATCACTTGCTCTGTCAAGTAATTAAGTTCCTCTTTCTCTTTCTCTCTGCTTTCCTGACGCACCCATAGTTAGTTGATATTGCCTTTTACTTTGTTTTTATTTCTTTTTTTTCTTTTTCAGCAGTCAAGTTCCCGCTCCAGTTGCAGCTCAGACGGAAGAAGCCAAGAAAAAGCCTGAATGCTATGGGGTTTTCTGCCAAACATACGATCTAAAAGCTGTAAATGCATCTACCCTTTACAATATTTGTGCATATGCTTATGTTTAATGTAATAATGCCTGTATATATCTTCCTCGTGTTTAATTATATGGATTTTAGGGGTTAAAATGTTAAATAAGCTGTCTAGTTTGTGCAACTAGTTATACAATGTCTTGTTTATAACTAAAGTTCCTTTTTTTTTTTTTTTTTTTTTTTGAGGATTTGAGCTATGATGATGGTTTTCTTTGCTGTTTATTTGTAATAAAATTTTTGTAGTTTTCCTTGTTAATTTTTAGAATTATTGTTGGAGATTGTTTGATCAGAGATCAAAATGAATTTAGTGTAACTACTGAAGTTAGTTCACTTGAATTTTTTATGCAATAATAAAATACATGTGGATAGGTTGGCTAGATATTTCTCTGATTTTTCAGTCATCAAATATATATGCTTGCAATTTGTTGTCTTTTCATGCGGGCATATAGATAATTTGTCTTTCTTTTGTTGTCTTTACTGTTGGATTTATTTGGTTTGTGTTGGATGGATTGATATATGCAGGAAGAGGAGACAAAAACATGGAAGAAATTAGTTAATATAGCGGTTTCAGGTGCTGCCGGGATGATATCTAATCACTTACTTTTTAAAGTAAGCATTCATATTTCTTTTTCCTTTTTGCTCCGAGGAGCCTGTGATGCCATTGTTTTCCTCTCTGGGAATGTAGATACTCATAACTTGCTAGTGAACTACTGAGAGCATTTATAGAAAGCTGTTAGATAAAATTAGAAGGTCCGCATTTGGAAGGGGGCTAATATGTTCAAGAACTCAAGAAGAAGCCAAGATAAGGAATAGAAATAAAATCCAAAATTTATCGGAACTGACTGGAATGTGTTTTAGCTTTGATGAAGGGCATACTTGGATGTCCAACCTGTTTTGTCAGATATTGGATTTAGGATTTGCAAGAGAATGTTCAGCATCTGTGGTGGCATGGCTTTTGTTTTCTCTCATGGCCTGGTTGGAAGTTTTTCAAATGCTCAAAGAAATGTGAATGAATAATTGATTCCCGTAAAATCTCCAAATCATGCCCTGATAATTCACCTTCATGTTGTTGAGTGCCACAATAGCATTCATTTGCATTCGAACTTTTGGAATTATTTCTGCAGAGGAAATCAACATTTACTCTATGAATATTAATCGCTATGCTTGTATCTGATTAGATCACTGACTTGTTCTCTTATCCCAGCTTGCATCTGGTGAGGTTTTTGGGCCAGATCAGCCAATTGCATTGAAACTACTGGGGTCTGAAAGATCATTCCAAGCTCTTGAAGGTACTGTTTTGAGTATATATTCACATAAAATTTTTTACAGAATCAGATATAAATGTTTTGCTATCTAGCAAGCAGCAGGTAATCTAGCATATGCATGTATCTGCTACACAGAAAAAATTCTTTATAGAGTTTTATACATGGAGCTCAAGACACATAATTATATCAATCACAAAGAAAAGGAATTAAAATTCCCTGAAGCTAATGCTCATAAAAGCGACAGGCATAGTTTTGGACAATCCTGGAAAGCCATAATTGGACAGATAAATGATAGATTTATTTGCTCTTTGGATAGATGATGAACTTCTAATGTTTCAGAATGACAACTCAGATTTCTCCATGCTCTTCAAAATGTTGTCTTTATGCAAGCAGGGGTTGCAATGGAACTTGAGGATTCCTTGTATCCATTGTTGAGGGAGGTGAGTATCGGAATAGATCCTTATGAAGTGTACGAAGATGCAGAATGGGCTCTTCTAATTGGAGCAAAGCCTCGAGGGCCTGGGATGGAACGTGCTGGCTTATTAGATATCAATGGCCAGATTTTTGCTGAGCAGGTACATTCTATGTTTCACATCTTGTAATCCCGTTTTGTCTTTGTTTCTGTTAATTCTTGTTGACAGTCCTTTTTTAAACATGATAGGGAAAAGCTCTCAATGCTGTTGCATCTCGTAATGTCAAAGTCATAGTAGTCGGCAACCCTTGTAACACCAAGTAAGCAGACATATTGATGCTATCAATCTAGCTTATGTGGTTCCCTTTGATTCCTCTCATTTTCATCTCATTTCTTTTTGGTGCAGTGCATTAATTTGTTTGAAAAATGCTCCAAACATACCCACAAAGAATTTTCATGCTTTAACTAGGTTGGACGAGAATAGGGCAAAATGCCAGGTAACTATGGATCTGGAACTTTACCAGTTTCTATAATCAGTAGTAAACATACCTGCAAACCAGTAAACTAAAATGGTATTGATTTTTGCAGCTTGCCTTAAAAGCAGGTGTTTTCTATGATAAAGTGTCAAATATGACCATATGGGGGAATCACTCGACAACTCAGGTTACTCTAGTTTTTTTTTTTTTTGGAAGGAGTGCCCATACGTTAAATTCCTCAAGACTATTCCAAAGTGATAGTTATAAGATTTTGTACAGGTTCCAGACTTTCTAAATGCTAGAATCAATGGCTTACCTGTCAAGGAGGTTATCAAGGATCATAAGTGGTTAGAGGAAGAGTTCACTGAGAAGATCCAGAAGGTAAGCTTTGTTGAAGCATCCTGAGAGTCATATAACGAACAAGCATGATAACTGAAATGTACAATGAATCAACTTTGTAATTATCAAACCTATCGTATGTAAACTTGAACTCTGGTTTGCAGAGAGGTGGAGTGCTGATTCAAAAATGGGGACGGTCGTCAGCTGCATCAACTGCTGTGTCGATCGTTGATGCCATGAAATCTCTAATAACTCCCACCCCTGAGGGTGATTGGTTTTCTTCTGGAGTAAGTTCATGTTGGTTGGATGTAGAGCACAAGTATTCTCTTTTCTGCTATTGCTCTTTATGCAAGTTAAGAGCCAGGCTGCTATCTTTGAAGCATCGTGCAGTTACATATTGTCGTTTATGTCAATGAAAAGGAGATAAGTTCAAAGTTCAAACTTTTACACACAGAAAACACTAGGAATAGAATTCCAGATGCCATTCTATTAGGTGTATTGTCGATCTTACAACAATGAAATTTATTCCTCATTTTTCCTACCCGTCAAAAAGAGTAGTTCCACGTTTATTGCAGATTGTAGTATCACCGCTGTATAATGATTGAAGATCATAACGCAGTATTCCGATGGACTCATCTCACAGTTTACCTGAAAATGCAGGTTTATACCAACGGGAATCCGTATGGTATCGCACAAGACATAGTTTTCAGCATGCCTTGTAGATCAAAAGTACGTTCTCTTTTAGCACTTCCTATTCTTTCATATATATTTAAATCTCCTACATAATTGCTTGCATTTTCCAGGGAGACGGTGATTATGAGCTTGTCAAGGACATTAAATTTGATGACTATCTTCGCAAGAGAATTGCTAAGGTACGCATTAATATTATGGGTTATGGACCAGTGAAGACGTTACAAGCATTTGAGAGAACGATAGCTGTGATTTTGTTGATTGTGTTATGGGTTTTGGTCTTTCTGAACACAACAAGATACTTTCCTACGAATTTACACACTCAGAGACCATGTCTTTAATGCAATGCTGTCATTTTGCAGACGGAAGCTGAATTGCTAGCTGAGAAGAGATGTGTAGCCCACCTCACAGGAGAGGTAGATCATAGATTTCGTATTATTACATCATCGCTTCCTTTGTGCTGGTTCTGCCACATCAATTATTAACTTTTCTGCTCTTTTCAGGGTGTTGCTTTCTGTGATTTACCAGAGGACACAATGCTTCCAGGGGAAATGTAATAGCAGTCATTCGCAGTCCTTCCTTTCTAGAATTCTTCTGCAGTTACTGCAATGGAACTGGTGGAATAGAAACCAGATGATGTAATTAGATAAGTTTTCAATCTTCGTTCAAAATGGTCCGAGAAAGCCTTAGCTGGTACTATATGTCCGCTTGATAACGCAGTTTACAAATCATTCCTATTACTGGGTCTTGGAGCTCAGATGTCTTGCCATTTCTTTCCATCCTTCACCTTCGGTGAATATACTGTAGTCAGTTTTGAATTTTCGCAATGGCACAGTGCACCTTACTATACTTTTCAATCTCTGAATGTAATGCGTGTGGACAACAAGTGCTTCAAACTTCCAATAGCATTATTAAGACCGTCCTGGATTGGGGAAGTTAATCGTGTGTCTCCAATTCCGTATACCTTTAAGCTGCTTTGTGCCCACTACTGCAGTACTGCTTACTTTCTCACAGCTCCCAGGCTTTCTAATAGGAGATTCAGCAAATCACTGGAACCTCATGTAGAAGATGAGCACCGCACATCTGGATATTTAGCCATCGTTGTGCTGAAGATCAAGAACTTCGATGATCACAATTTGCAAATGTCTAAATCAGTAATGCAAGTGTTTCTAAACGAACTAGACTTCCCGACCAAAAATGACAATTCCCAAACCGAAAATAAGGCAAGGGATTAAAGCTAAAATACACCTTCAAAGATAACTGCAGCTAGTTATCATCCCTACGTAGGAAGAAGAATAATCGACCTCTTCTGACACAAACGGTGCTGTACAATGTAGCACTACGATGGTAAATCACCTTAAACAAGGACTAATGCAGTGGAATTAAAATTTACAGCAGAAGTAGAAAGTGTGGTAGGATTGCTCCTAATGCGATGTCCAACCAAAAAAATCCCGGCAGTAAGGCATTGTGAGCAATTTCGTATGATTACAATGAAATGATGTAAGCACACCAATTTTCAGTTTGGCAGTTGACATAAATAACAAACATAAAGTAATGATTTATCTTTATGTCAAGCTGTCCTAATAGATCTATAAGGGAATTAACTAACAAATAAACCCTAAGAAAACTCAAACCAAGAAACAGTTTTTGGGCATCTCTTAGCCAGCTCCATTTACTGTGGGTTTACTTGGCACAAATACAGGTCCCGATTTTATAACTCACAGAAAGAATTAGGACCCAAAAGAACATCAAGAAGAGCCAACCACGCGACACCACAGACTCTGTCTTGCTTGAGAACAAGCTGGTCATTGGCACCAAACTGGCAGGACCACCTTCTTGTTGTGGCATACCAAAAGAAAAGATGATATTGACATTTCCGTTCTTGCCAAATGACCACTCCAGGCCATTGCCACCTGAGTTCGTGTTTTCTATTCTTATCATACCGGCTGTAACGTGAATTGAGCTTGAAGATGCTGAATGTAAGCGAAGAGCAGCATCCTTGGAAGGGAACTCGGAAGCAAAAGCAGGAGGTGCAGGAATGTTCCCCAACATGTGACTGGCCTGCTTGATGAATGGATATTTGGAATCTGCACCTAAATGAGACACAGAAGGATGAGCCCAGACAAACAGAAGCAAATGTGAACACTTGTGGGCAAAAATGAGCCCAACCGAATTATGTAAATCCATCACACAAATCTTATATCTCTAAATGGATACAGGAAAATAAAACATAAAGAGTTGCTCGGAAACAAATTGAAATATAAATTTACCAGAATCTAATTTCATGGTCTCTGCCTTTTGCTTTGATGAGGATGGATCGACGGTGCCATGTGTTTCTAATAGTCTTTGGCTTGCCTCGGACAGTTCCTCAGTTTCTCCCTTGACATCCTGTTATACAGTTACAAATTAAATGCTGCGTGCAGTTCAATCAGTGAATTAGAGCAATGAAGAATTTACGTAAATTCGTACCTCTTGGGGTGGAAGCTGTTGCTCAGAAACAGTAGTCTCACTTCCGAAAATAACAGAAGGATCAAAAGACATATTCTCATCGAAATTGAGGTACTCTTCTAGCATGTCAAAACCAGAGAAATCTCCAGCTGTCTCCGGCTCCACGGGCTTCGAAAGATCATCAGCTTCTAGGAAAAATCCTTCTCTCTCTGGAAAATTATGAAGACCATCCAAGTATGATTCATCAAACAAATAATTTGCATCAACAGCGTTCACATTATTCATAGGCTCCACATCATATTCTTTTTTGTCTGCATCCACCTCATATTGTCCAAGTAAGTCCAAGTTTGGTTCAGCTCGCAGAACTGGAACATATCGATTCTCAGGCCCCCTTATCACAGGCTTTAGATCATCTTCACTGAAGTTTCCAGGCTGTTCCACATAGTTGCTTGATTCCCCATAGTAGAAGTTTTGCGGAAGGGCAGTATTTTCAGAAGTAATTCCAGTGTCGAAATTCTGGCAAAAAAAGACAATACAGTGAAAACTTTAATTGGTTGTGAGACCATTAATCATGAAATGCAAACAAACCAGACGAAGGCTGGGCAGAGGTGCATGGATCAGAAGTAATGATGAAGAAACAGACAATGCTTGACAACACACCCCGCAGCAAATTTATAAATAATTGCTATGGCAAAAAACACAAGACCAACACAGCGGATACACCACATATGACATTTGACCAAGTCAGCAGACCAATCCATTTCAATCTTTTTTACCATAAACCAAGATTACCAAATGTGGAAGTCCATATACAAAGAGAGTGCAGCATACAACGACAGTTTAGTTATCCAAATTAACAGTCAAGACATGGAAATTCTTAACAGGCAGCAAGTTCTTTTGGGGGAATATGGCAATAGATCTGAGAACATGCAGACCAAGGAGAGTACATTAGAACCCTGGTGCAATAACCAAGATTACCTAGTGCAGAAGTCAAGAAATAAAAAAATAAAAATAAAAATAGCAATAAAGCAACGTACAATGACATAGCTTAGTGATCCAAAAATAACAGCCAAATCATGGTAACTCTTATTAGGAAGCCAGCCCTTCAGAGGGCAAAGGCAAGACATCTGAGGACATATTGACCGCAGATATTAGATTGCAACTGCATTGAGTATGTAGCCAATCACAAGCAAAATCCAAGGAGAAACAGAAAGTAATTCCTTTCGGGAGCTTGAAAAGACCTTCAAACCTCAAACCAAACAACTTGAAAATTATCAGATGGCAAAAATGGCTGCAACCAAACTCTTTTAGATAAACCAAGTGACACTGACTTTAAAATTGTCAGATGGCAAAAATGACTGCAACCAAACTCTTTTAGATAAACCAAGTGACACTGACTTTAAAATTGTCAGATGGCAAAAATGACTGCAACCAAACTCTTTTAGATAAACCAAGTGACACTGACTTTAAGCAGCTGGAGAAAAAAAAAAGTATCATTGGATACTAGGACTAACAAAACAAGTTAAAAATTTTAATATAGTCTCAACTAGAACAGGATTGTCATATACATGTGTAAGTCCAAGCGCTTATAGATTAAGAACTTGTATCCAGAATTCCCATTACCCCAACAAAATATGTATTCTATGATTTTGAATTTTGAACATTTACTTCTTTGGAGTTTAAACAAGTACAACTTTGCATGTACAATGTAAAGAATAAGCAAGATTGGGTACTACCAGTTAAACAAGCAACTAAATGGCATTCCATTCTTATGAACTCCCACAAGTACTTTTGCTAACTTCTTTGCATTTAAATTTTTTTCATGTGCACCTCAATTCATAGTGTAGCTCTAATAGAGTTTCTAAAATTTATACATTTTTATACTGGGATCCATTAAGTTCCAACTAAACAATTCAAAAAAAATTTACCACGAGTAACATACAAGTACAAACCTGGTCAAGCTCATTCATTTCCAGGTATGCATCATCACTAACTGGCGCTTCTCCAGTCAGCACCAGCTCTTCACTTGGCAACATAGGCACTTCATCATCATCCCATTCCTCCTCAATAAATGGTGCCCCATACTGCTCCCCATTCTTCGGCCCTGTCCCACTCTTTTGGAAAATCCTACAAAGCACAAATGCATCCTTCCCCACCCAAAAAAACAAAAAACACAAGACAGTCAACACAAAAAATCCCAACAAGATTACATTAAAAAAAAATTATTTTCCTTTTTAGTGATATGGATCTCACTTGAGCAATTCCCTCTTTCTCCAGCTCCTCATCAGCAAGGCGGTACTCATGCATTACCCAATTAGAACGCTCACCACGTGGGGCTCGACCCTGATGGTACACAAGGGTCTTCTTCATCCCCACAACTCGTGAGTTGCAACGAATAGGCCGATCTTTCCCAGTCGTCTTCCAATATCCTTTCTCAGTAGCCCGGTTCGTCTTAGACCCATTTCCGTACTTCTTATCCAACATGCTAAAGAAATACCATTCTAAATCCCTGCTCTTCAATTTCGACTTGACTACAAAACCCACAAACCAAAATTCACTTAAAGCAAAACTAAATAATCCTCAAATTTAGAACTTTTAACTAAATTAAATCAATTCACCATCCATAACTCACAATGGAAACAGCTAATCAAGCTAAATTACTTGCCTATCAATAATTATAAAAAACCCAATTTAAAATTCACAATAAAAACCTAATCAAGCTAATCTATGATTAAACAAACAAAATCAATTACTTAACAATTAAGTTACAAATTAAACAATTATAAGATATTAAAGAACTAGACACGTGGATCTAAAGAGCGAAAAAACTGTAAAATTTAAAGACCTGGAAGATCCCACGGCTCAGATTTATAAACATCGGTGACGGATATGGCGTCGAAACGGAACGGTTTGTTAGTGACCTTCCTTTTGAGGTAGTAACGGACAAGCTCCTCATCGGTCGGGTGGAATCGGAATCCTGGAGCGAGCGAAGTCGCCGAGTCACCACTGCCCATCAAAATCAAACTCGGATAGACAGTTCGTTTTAGAGCTTAAAAAAAAAATTTTAAGAGTTTTAAGTAGAGAACTTTAAAGAAAAGAATGGAAAATTTAGGGCTAGGGTTTAATTTTTGAAATCGGACTTGGATGGTTGACGATGAGAGATTGAAGAAGAAGCCATTATATTGGCGTCAAGAAGTGAGAGTCCTTTTTCTCGTTTTTCTTTTTAAGCGCAAATAAGGTGCTGATTTTTCGAGGAAAATTCGGAGTGGGAAAAGCTAAAGCGACAGGGAGTGGACAATAGTTTTAGGAGGTTGGGTCTCCTAGTAAAGGTATTGATTACGTGGCGTGGAGATGAATTGACGCGTGGAGAAATTGCGACTACACGCGCGAACGGGATTATTATTTGTTAATGACACTGACGCAATTGCATCCGTAAAAAGGAGAGAGGACTGAAGAGGTGAAAGCGAAATGACGGTCATATCCTTTGGTTGGTGTGAGTTTTACTAATTCCTCTCTTATTTTGAACGGAAAATTTTTGTTCTCTGTTTCTGGATTCTTCTATTGGTTTATCGACTAATTATTTTGACTTGACTTGAATTCACGTAGAGTTAAATTTTTCTTTCCGTCTAACTTGGCGCTTCCTTCTTACTTCTTAGGACTAATTTGCAAATAAGAGGCAACATTTACCTTTTCAACCAGTAAAAAGAGTAAATTATAAATTAGTCCCTCTCATTTAAAAAAAAACAATTACTTATTCTTCTTTCTTTTATAAACTAATCATCAAATCTCTTACTTTTTAATTTCATCAATAAAAAAATTTATCATTTTTTTGTTAGATTAATAATTTTATTATTAAATTGTCCTTTTGATTTTTTAATTGAGAAGAGAGCAGAATAGGTGAAAAAGAAAAATATAACATACAAAAAAAGATAATTTGAAAAAAAAATTAATCTAACAAAAAATTTGATGAAATAACTTTTTATTGACATAATTAAAACATAAAGAATTAATTAGTTGGTTTTTAAAACAAGAAAGATTAATTAGTTCGGGGACTAATTTATAATTTACTTAAAAACGATTATGTGTTAAGCTAAAAAAATTACACGAAGATTAGGAAATCATGACACGCCCACTTGACAACAAGAACACAAAATTAGTTAGTTCAAACATTAAAAAGGTTATGATTGTTATCCTCAAAATACCCATTTAAAAATTCATTAATTGCATGTGTTTTTTTAAAAATGCTTAACGACATGACGATGACACACACTATTGTCAAAAATAGAAAGTTTTAAAGTAAACTTGAAAAGTGAAAAAATTAAACGATATAATACATATTGAAATAAAATATTCAACTTTTTACCTTCTCTTGTATCCCTCCCAAAAAATACTATTCTTATAAAATTATGATGACTTTTTTTTTACACAACTAATGTCATGTAGCACTATTCATGTTTTTTTGTGCCTCAGCATTCACTTGCTACATTAATCCACAAAAAACTGAGCAGAGAGCAATATCTTGTAGTATATAGGGAACTTAAACCCCATTTCCAAAGCATGTATTCTGAAGTAGAAAACAAAATCTGACTTAAGAAAGTAAAATATTAATGTTTCCTATTAGAGGAAGATGAGTCAGTTGATAGGCAGAAGAATGGCTAACGTAAAGTCAAACATAACTGTCAATTAATGATTTCCTCATCTCATCAACAATGGCACTAGGTCGAGCTTCCCTCAACTTGAAGACGCTTTCAATGACGGATAGTTCGGTAGCTGTAGTGTCCGACCCACAGAAGGCTGTCCAGTCATTTACTGACATTCCAGCGGCGATCACTTCGCTACCACGGTTTACAGTACCAGCAACTAGGGGGACCTGAAGAAGGGTGGAAAGCTCATCCAAGTCTTCAATGGATGTGTGAGGGTGGACCTGTCCAAAGTCCAAACACAAGATTTTAGTGTAAGTTCTGTGAATAGAATAACTATTAAAAAGTTTGTTCAAGCCTCCGTGGAGAAGCGGGTCTCTCTTACCAAACCACCTCTGTTGGAGAAGGCACAGTAGCTTCCCACAAGAATGTTACCAGCAATTGTCTGCCTAAATACTTCAACTCCGAGAACATCAGCAATTATTTCCTCAGTTTCCTGATGAAAGTTGAACATTACGGCAAATATGAGCAAAAAAAAAAAAGAGGAAGGTGTGTTTGGGGGGGGGGGGGGGAGAGAAGTAATTGCTTGTAATTTGAGGTTATTTCTGTCATTTGCGAACTGTTCTGATATTCATTTCTTACATCTCAAGCAATCATCCCTGTAAAAGTTGTAATAGAACATGATGACCCCACCAACAACCATCAGCACGTTCAGATAAGCAGAGTCTTATTAACAGTCAAAAAGTGTGCTTCAAAATGCTTTGAATATTCTTAGCTTCTAAGAGATCCTTTCTTTAAAGCATATTAAAGCAAAGCTCCACAAGGTGTAAGAATACGAGGCCATGTTATACCTCAGGAGTCTTTTTTAGAGCCTAACATAAGGTATCTGCTACTGACAGGGCACTTATTCTTGATAATTTTGAGGTCCTCCAAACAAGTGAATGACACGTAGGGGATGAAACAGCTAGTTAATAAATAATTCATTTAGCCAGGGTTTCAAAGTTAACTTCTGGTCTCCAACCAAGAAAGCTCATTCCTCACTTAAGCACATGACAAGAAACTAAATGAAATCTAAAGTCTATAATCATTTTCAGACCTCTTCACTATTTCCAGATTATCATAACAAGAGTTTGATTCTAATGTCATGAAACAAATCATTCAAGGATATAGAACTTTACCCTGTCCAGATCAGTGTGTGCAAGGGCAACATGATCATTGCATGCTATGCAATTCCCCAGTGCAGATAGCTTCTCCTCAATCCGCTGAACAACAACTTGATCAGGTAGACTGTTTCTCAGGTGTTGGAGTTCTTCAGTGAGAAACATAAAACAATCAGAACATAAGATCTTCAACAGACAACAAAGTCCAAAGTCAGAAATCAAGTGGGTAACTAAGAGAACAAATACTCTTAAACATGAGCCAGAGCACATTTTCTTACATTCATGAGATGCTTACAGGTCCAACTGTTGACAATGCGCAATTGGAAATCCTAATTGGTAAGATACCAAAAAGAGTTGCACTTCGGTATATATATAAAATCACATGGGTGATATTAAAAAGCTAATCCATGACCCATCAAGCATGGTATGATTGTTCAACGCTATAATCTAGCTGAAACAGCTAAATCATATAAGCAATAATAATATTTTCTTCCTACTTCCAGTATTTCACCAAACTCACCTTGATCAGTGGTGGTATGAGGCACAAGAAGCCCATCTTTGTTCCCTGCAAAAGAGTAGACACTTGCATTCACTACAGTAGGAAGGGCTGCAAAATAGATTCTAGGACAAGGCAAAAAGAACTTCAGAATTCTCACCAGCACATAGTCGTCCAATTATCCTAGTACCAGCAATTGAGGTCTTGACCACAGGAATGACATCAGCTAACTCTGACTCAAAAGTGCTGCAAGACACTCAAACATATAGAGAATCCATGTCAATCAACATTACTAGACACATACATCTCTTACAAGCAAATCAGATAACTTGTAAGCTCAGGATTCAGAATACCTGTAGAAGCTTTCTGATCCACCAATAGCAACTAAGCAGTACGCATTGGTCAACTTGGAAAACACACCAACTTCACAATTATTCTCAAACTGAAGTCCTGCACAAATTCACCCATTAAGCGGCACATAAATGGAGCAATCGCCATCTACTCCATGACATTAAACTTCAAACTAACAGAACAGATGAAAAAAATCCGCACGATTCAATAATCATACAACTGAAACAAACAACTGGCAAGGAAAGTAACAAACTTACTGGTCGCCATGACGAAAACAAAGTCGGGCACAGAGATAAACAAGAACTGCCGTAAGAAAAACACAAACATCAATTTCTTTCAAAAAATAACAGTAAGGAGAGCACCATAATTGCAAAACAAGCAACTTACAAATGTCAAAACCTCTAAATACCAATATGAATACCTTTCTAGTAAATTTAAATTTCCCAAACTATCCCCTAAACCAAACAAAGCCCATAAACCCTAATGGTTACAAAATCAAACTCTCATAATCACACCCATTTTTCTTTTGAATTTAAATCAAAATCACCAAAACAATAAACTATAGCCGTTATGCACTGCGAATACAAGGCAGAGCAGCCAACTGAAACACTAATTCAAGACAAAATGAAAAGAAAAAACAAAAAGAAATACTGCTCCTGTCTGCCTTCATTTTTTCGATAACCAAAAGGATCGCAGAAAAGAAAATTGTAACAGAAGATTAAAGAAATTTATGCTTACTGTTTGTTGTTTTTGCAATGGCGGAAACACTGGCTTCAGTGAGGAGGAGAAGATGGAGGGTCGTGTGGTTTTATGCCCGCAAATAATTTTTTTCTTATGCCCGTTTGCATCTCTAATACGATGTCGCGTCGGTTGGAAATGTACTGACGCGCTGTTTATTCGCGGCTTTTAGAGATTTTACATTTTTCGCTTAATGACGACGTCGTTCTGGGAGACTTGTTTGAGGTTTCTTTTTTCCTTCCTTTATTTTTGGGAAAATTATAATTCAACTCGTGTTTACATTTTTTTTCATTTTTTTTAGAGATATTTTGATATAATTGATTCATATTGCAGATAATAATACTTCATTCTTAACGAAATTGTGAAGAATCATAATTTTTTAGTTTATAATAAAATAATAGTTTGCAGTTAGCTTTTACATATTAAAATTTATATTTAATTTTTTAATATGTATGTTTAAAGACATATCATTAATACTTGTGCGGATAATATGAATATTTAATCTTTCAAATTTAATCGATTATATCTCTTTAATCCTTAAACACGAAACCACGCTCTCGAACTATTGTTAATAGTGCTAAGTGGAAGCAAGAGTGATGGGAAAAGAAAAATTTCCATTGATATTTATT